AGCTCTCTTGCTGCCACGTCCCCCGACGGGAGACCCTCACCTGTTCTGCCTTAGTTCCCACCATCTTCTCCTCACCCGACGCGTAGCCGCAGCTGTGTTCGGTCACGTGAGGGTTCATCGCCGGGGAAGTCAGGCAGACAACCTATGACGAAGGGCCATTTTTATTAATGGCGGAGCTCGGCAGGTCAGTAGTTGGCTCATTCCAGCATGTCGCAATCCTCGGTGGTGGAGACCAAGGCGAAGAGAACAAAGAAAGTGGGCGGCAGGGATCAGTTCCATTCCAGCAATCGACGTCGAGCACGCCAGGACACTGACTCGTAAGAAATTACACGACCGGGCGAGGGGGTGGATATTTTAGCCCATCCCATGTGTCTAGGACTGGGTTGGAATGGGCTGTGTAAGTAATTGAATCCGGGATAACTTGTCTATAATCACATTCTTATTGAAGGTTATGCATCAGATGCAATGCAGTGATCATCTCCCTCGAGCGGTCAGGCAACTGTAGCACAGCGTTGCAGTTGCAGCGCCCATAGGGTGTTGGGGGTCGAGGTCTCAACAGGAATGGAAGGATTGATTAGGATCGTTGGCTAGAAATGACCTAGAAGTCAGAACGTTGCGGCTCAAGTTTGCAGCGCCGTCTAGGAGACTGAAGGCATTTCCTGGCAGCGTCAGCTTTGGGCGCAAGAAGTGAGGAACAGCCGCGGCGCCTAGAGGCTGGTGTCTACTAGCATCCTCAGTATTAGGCTAACGCCTGGGGGTCCTGCGGAACTCCGTACTACCAAGTACAACCGACCATCCTGCGTAATAATCCAAACGTAGTGATGCTGTCACTTGGTAGGTGAAACCAAATCGACCCCACTGGCACCTGCGGCGATAATATCCTGTTATACTAGTCAACCTGCGAGCGAGGTGAAGTGTAACTTATTGCTGGTCAGGGAAGTATGCAAAAGACCAGCCTAGACAGCACACAGGTATGAAGTAATACCTTCAGGGGCTATCCTAGCCATCAACCCAGTCCTGAGTGTCCCGATTGGGAATCATTGCACGTTCTACATACCGAGTCCGGACACAGTAACTTAATGAGGGATGTTGTGATGACATTGTGTTGCCATTGTGTGACATATCGGAATATGTGCCGAGCCTCACCTGGTTTGGATCTTCCAGAAAGATCGATATGTTCCTGTATTGTGTACTACGTGGTGGCTGAAGCCACCACCCTTCTCATACCATAGTTCCGTCAAAGCCACCGGCCCGTCATCGGTCAAGGATCGCAACTCTAAGCTTGCCTCAGATTCATTCTCAAAAGATATTTACTACTTGCGAAATGAAGGAGTAGTCAATCAATGCATAGTGGATATATCAGGGGAAACAGTATAAAACCTACACGTTTTGTACTTACCGGAACGGACGGGAAGATCCCGTCGGGTTCAGTTACAGAGCTTTTTGGTCACTAACAACTTCCCCTCACCCCTTGACAAGGTAGTTGCAGTAGTAACCCATCCTTTCTGCCTCGCACAACAGTAAAAATGTCGCTGTCAAGGTCGTCAAGGCTCAACGGTGATGCGGCGTTGCACATGACGTTGCTTTCTTCTAATGGGCTAATGCATGGAACCATGACGGTGGCTTAGTTATGCTGCCTGGGGAGGGTCGACAGACAATGGCTTAGACGGCCAGGCAGTCTATTCCTGCAGCCTCGTGTGTCTCCTCTCCGCTGAGAACCACTCATAATGCTGGACACCGACCTGACTACTGATGGTCATATTGACCGTGACACTTGTTGGCGAGGATGCATCTTTGGTTTGAAGAAGCGGGGCCGCTGTTGGCATTCGAAGCAGTCAGAACAGAGGATGAAAGACGGATGTGGACTAAAAGAGGCACCACACTTGGCCAGAGCTTCCGGAGCCTAAGGAAGGGATGTCTTGATTCAGCTTGCAAACATTCCGACTGGACCATTCGTCTACTCTAGAGTCTAGAGGCTATAGTGCCCCGTTTAGCCCAGATCAGATTTGCTGCGGGCTGGATATGTCAGATTTCAATTAATTTAACAGCCTAAAAAAACTAACCACGAAGTGAAGCTGGAGTTGCATTTCGCACACGGAGCACTCTCCGAAGTGCTCTCGTTCTAGGGATAGTGTCAAAATTTAGCATCCTAGAGCTTAATCAAATGATTTGATTGCACAAATTTTACCCGACGGAATTCCCGATCATTGGTAGACCTGACACTTTCGCCAAACTTTTTTCTTATCACGCCAATAGAACTGCATCATGTGTAATAATAATAATATAAATATTAAATTGGATTCTGGTCTTCATTCCAGACGACGCCGACACTCGCCCGGAAGCGAAGTATTGTAATTAATTGTCTTTCCTGTCAGCAGATCGATTGGGAGAGTCTCATCATCAGCTGATGCTTCCTCTCGTCCTCTCGATAAGCAGTGACCACTGCGTTAGTAGTGACGCACTATCATCAACCACATCACCTGAACCTCATTAGGCTGACTACCTCACATCAGCAATCTGTTGAACAGATCATCATGCAGAATTACCATGGGCCCCGCCTCTGCCTCCATTTTTTTTTCCCTTCCCTCCCCCCCTCCCGTCTCCATAGTCCATTCATTCCGAGACCATTAGCCTCCGCCGGTCCGGATCGGGGCTGAACTAACTAGCGACCAAAAAAAGTTATCAGGCAGGCTATCCACCGAACGGCGACGCTAAGAGCCTTGGAAGGGGTTGGCACGGAGATCCGGCAGGAATATTCACGAGCACCTTTGGCAAAAGCCACGGGCATATCTGCCCATGATTATTGATTGGTGCCTGTCTAAGTTCTAGAAGACACAGCTCGGTCCGGGCGACAAATCCTTCGCTGCGGCAAAGGATTGTATAGTCTACTGCGCTAGATGAATTGAGGCCGACCTTCTTTCTCATTGTGCGTGGTAGGATTTGAGACCACGTTCACCACGTTTGATCGCCAGGATCTGTGGCGCGATGTTGGGTGAGATTGTCCGCGCCACCGTCTAGATGTCCATACTTGAACTTTCCATCAAGAGGATCCTCATCATGATTGTTTACCCTTTTGAAATTGGCGCAGTTACTGATCTTTGGTTCTGGTGGATCGAACTATCTTGAAAAAGGAGCCCCCGCCTCTTTCATTCTCTCGTATTCAAGAGCTTTTTTTTTTTGTTTTTGTCCACAGTAGGTAATATTCACGCACTGTGTCTCCTCTGTAAACTAAGAATTTATCCGACCATGCTCATCACTTCTTTTTTACGTTTGTTTTTCTCTCTCTTCAAAGCTCCCTATAGGGATTCCCGCGTTATTAAGCTCTGGGCTGCACCGGAGCCTGACTGCCAAGCCGCGGCCGGTTCAGATCCGCCTTGACGATAAGCTTCAGCTCCAGGTCCGAGGCCGCAGCCACGGCGGTGAAAATGGACACCGTCTGCCTCCATTCCTGCTGCCATTGACTTTTCGCCGCAATTACTTGGCTTATTGGTGGACTTTTGACGATGAAAGTCAAACCATACCTGTTCCTGATTGGTTGGCTTGTCTTACCCGACTGGGAAGTCTCGGTGATTAACTTACCCTCGAAAATGCTAAACACCTAGTAAGTAGTAGATGGACATGTCGTAAGAGGGTGAGACCCTTACCTACTATTATAGGATATTTACTCGATCAAAATCTCTCATTATACGGAGCTGTGTAAATAGGTTTGATGATTCTCCGGGAAGTTTTAGACTATGCTGATTGAAGGAGTCATTCAGACTCGTTTGCCTTCAGCCTCATTCCTCTTTGAGCCCCCCTCCCTCCTCTGCCCATTCCCTCAGGCACCGACGAATTTCTTACCCCTGCGCCTCGCAACACGTGGGGCCAATTGCAACGAGCGCAGGCCTCACTTTCTCCCCATCGTCCGCTGCATAGTATACTTAGTGGCGAACACTATACCTAGCAGGTCAAGTAGATGGCTTAGTATAGTAGTCAGAAGCGAGTAATCCATGCGCGATGCCGATTCCCGATACGTACGGATCCCGAGTCTGGCCGCGCCGTAAGGCAGACCCATTTTGTTTTGGTTCTTTAATTTAATTTTGATTTTTTTTACTGGAGATTCGGTCTACTGGGGAAAAGGATAAATTGCAATGCCTCGGGACAAGACAATGAGATTGACACCTAATGTATGCGACAGGAGTGGAAGCGCGAGCCAAGATGCAGGCATCTTTCATTATTGCACATTGTGTTCGGCCGGACGACATCCCTGCAACCAATCAGCTTTACTCCGAGCCAATGATTGACATCTAAAGTAACAGTCTAGAATGTCGTAGACGAGGATTTGCGGCGCAGTCGTTGTACATCTGTCCTGACGCTACGTGATGGAGTCGCTACGGAGAACGGAGACCAGCCAAGTCCTTAGAGTCCGGCGTTTAAGAAACTGAGTGGGGGTGAGGGGGGCCAGAGGAGAAGAAGGAGAAGAAAGGAAGTACTCCGTATGTAGACGGTCTTTTGGCTAGCGTTCGGAATGGCTGTCCCCCGTCAATAGCTTATGACGGGTGCTATCGACCCTTTTGCTAACTACTCCGACTTGGGACGTACTAGTGTTATTTGGTACCTACAGAGATGGTCCGCACACCGTAGATTGCTATACTAGTATGTGGTAGCTTACCTAGTTCTTATTAATGTGGGTAAGTCACTAAATGAAGTAAAGAAGTATGTACGCGTATATATGTATGTATGCATGTGCTCGACAACAACTTCATATCACAAGGGCGGTGCATCGTCAATCAGTCAGTCAGTCAGTCAGTCAGGATGATGTATGCCGGGGGGGGGGGGAAGGGAAAGTGACTGGACTGGACTACGAAGTACAGGAGGCTATAATTATCCCGACGCAAACCAATAATGATGCATACTATAGGATGATCACGTCGATGACTTTCCCATTCCCCCAAGGGCTTTTTTGGTTTACAGCCAGAATACATACTAGTGTGGACTGCCATGGGAGCCAGAGAGGGAAGCATTGACCCCAGCAAGCTGGCCCCTGCCATGCAAGCAATCAGGCCTTCTCCTACATTGACTCTGTTGAGTTAAGCCTGGCTGCAGCCCGGATGGGCCGGCGCGCTGTAAGGTCCGATACCATACCATACGCCTTCATTCACGGCCAATCCAAGCCGGCCGGCCGTTCGATCGACGTCGGCAAGCGAGATCGATTCCGCGTCTCAGACAACAACCCAAGAGTTAGTTGCTGCTGCTGCTGCTAAACTAGTGTGGTTATTCTCTCTCTCTCTCTGCCTGAGAGCAGTCACAGCCGGTGCGCCCGCCGCCTCTTCAGTGTCACGCTGGACTCACCCTAAATGGTGCCACGGGCAAAGCAAAGTACCTCCCCTAAAGGACGTACCCCAGGTAAGCTTACTCCTTGCTTACCACGCCTTAATCCTGACTGAAGAAATGCCTAACCGTTTTCATCCACTGAGTCAGTCAGGTACCAGCTCGAGCCAGCTTATAACCTACCTAAGGCTTAAAAAGTAATATCTAAACAACTGTGTTGAAAAGCTTCATGAATATTTTCATTATTTAAGACATCCTTGGTTTTTTACCCACCGTGGACAGCGAGTGCAATTTCCCTCACATTTTTCCCCCCTCCTCCTCCCAGCCTCGGGGACCATTTGCCAAACTTACCAGGGATACCAACCAGCCTACTCAGAAAACCCCTCAGCTGGACGGAACCTGCTCAAGGTTGCCTACTAATGCCCAACTATCACACTCTCTACCAGACTGTCGGGTCCATGGTGTAGTATTCGCGCTGCGAGAATCAGCCGGTGGCCTGCACTGATTTGTCCCAGTTAATCTAATTTATTTATTATTATTTTTTTGGTCTCTTCTCGCACTCGCACAACTGGGGCTGCTGCTCCTGCATGGAGGCAGCCGGATTCCTGTCTCATCCCTCTCTTTCCGATCCATGTTCGTTGGGGTCATTCGTCTCCCACGTCTGTTCGTCTGATTTTTGACTCCGGAGTACTTTCGACCACCAACCCCCTCCTCTCCTCTCCTTCCCTTTCAGCAGAGGTTATGGAGCCGCTCAAGAGACGGAATATTAATTTAGAGTAACACTAGATACTTACTACTCCTAACTCCAGACTGATACTAACTAGCGATTTTATCAACTAGGAGTAGTTTTGAACACGATCATGCAGAATGCCTCACCCACCATCCACACTCGTTTAGTTGACTTGCTTAACGTTCTAACCACCTCATCATTGTTACTGACCTGGTAAATTGTTGACTTGACCTTCTTGGCTAATGGAAACCCACGGAGGAGTCCTTCTCTTCCTTCGGTCCAGTCCTCGGACCACCCCCCGGAAAACCCATGGTTTCTCCCCATTGCTAAGCATCTCTCAACCTCTGGTTCACCCGACTTTTCTTTTCACCAGCGAAATTTGAAAATGGCCAACCATCTACACGATCGCTAGAAACCAAACCCCACCCCACACATCGTAGTAATACCAACGAGACATATATCTCTCTCCCCCGTCATAGCAATTTCTCTTTGTTTCCCTTCTCGGTGATCTCCGTGCAAGTATCCACTTCGGAAAACAAGGCTAACCCCCCCGTTCTCGACCTTGTTTCGCAACTTGGCCCTTCTTTGTTCTCGACACACCCTAGGGTTGTATCCAGAATTGGCGGCGCGGGAGGGGAGAGCCCCAGATAGATACACCCGTCTTTTTGTCTAGTCTAATTATTGCTTGCCAATAATCCAAGGATGCTTGCCTACCTACTAACCCTCCCTCATAGTGGAGACCAAAACAGGCAGACAGAGAGAGACAGCGACAAGAAAACTGACAAGGCCAGCCGGCCGGCCGGCCGGCCGACCGACCGACCCAGGATTGAGCACCGAATGGATTCGGTTAGTAACCATGGGTTTTGGGACTCATTGTTGTTTCAAGCAATTTCCTTATAAGGTACTCCGTAGCGTGTTAGTAGTAGTATGTAGTTTTAGTTTACATGGATGTATGTACACACGGGCAAGGCCCCGCGTGCTGCTTTGCTGTGCGGAGCAAAAAAGAAAAGCGATCGTCACTTCCTTCCAACTAACTAACTACTAACTGTCTAACTAAACAATGTTAAATATCGGCTATTGTAAATACTCTATATTATGTTGTGATATGATTGTCGTGTTCATATAAACAAAACCATATCAGACAGTATTATTGAATCTACTACTAAATGCAGAGTAAATAATTAACTAACTAGCTAGCTAGCTGGATATGTACCCTCCGACCGAGGTAAGTAACTACTGCGAGTCTGCGACAAACAATGACAAATACCTACCTTCTTCTGCTGCTTCTTCCTTCCACTTCCCCGGCCTGCCCTCTTTCTTGGCCTCTCTTTCTATTCGCTTGCCATAATGAAAATATCCGGGGGTCGGTAGGTAACTACTACGTATCATCTACCTACTGATACTACTACTTACAGTAGTATCCATAACGAGCACGACGAAAATCATCGACGTAAGGAGAAAAGAAATACCAAGATATTCGACTTACCCCTTCTTCAGCCAACTTGATCCTTCAATGGTAATGCATTATGCAAAGAGGATATATACACTAACACAACATACATAAGTAGATGATTTATGTCCCCTCTATCGACATGACTATGAAGTAGTAGTAGTCACATGCATCCAACTTGGTACTTCTACTACATAGAGTAAGTAGGTAGGTAGGTAAATACTTAGGTATGTAGCAGTACATTTTACATATGAGAAGGTGCATACACAAGTACTTTCCATCTTGTGCACCCCTTCCCCTTTGCCCCCTTCCCCTCTCTTTCTCACTACATAAGTAGCGTAACATAACATACGTACTAATGAGTTATTCAAGTCTAACCCAGGAAATGCATTGCAACTAAACCACAGTCCCCCCCTCCCCCCCTTTCTTCTTCTTCCCCGTACCGGAAGAGTATTAGTAGTAGGAAGAGCATACCTACGTACTTACCGGTCCGAGTTTCCGGTGCAGGCAGGCTGATACACACACACACACACACACACACACACACACACACACAGTCCACATGCAACTCTGCAACTATGCATCATTCGAACCTGACTGCAATGGCAGACAGACAGGTAAGCAGGTAGACAGGGTCCTACTAAATGGAGAATCATCGGTGATACTACCACTTTCACTATGCAACATTATCACCCAAACCAAGTATATCCTATGTACTATGTACTATGTAAGTAGTATATCCGCATGCATTCATGTCTGTCTCAGCCTACACATGCAACAAAATGAAATGGAATGACCTCAGATAGATATATCTCCTCGGAGAAAGCACCCACCCCCCTTCTTTCCCCTTTATGCACAACTACAGCCTGTACGTACTCCACCCCCAGATAAATAAAACAAGCAGATAAGACAGCCCAAGCAATCAAAACCAGGAACAGCAACAGCAACAGCAACAACGCCTAAGAAAGGGATAGGGATATGTAGGGTACGATACACACATATGTAACTCACGAATCATGAAAAGAAGAAAAAGCCCTGCAGAATGCAGATCATTTCACTGAAGGAGAGAAGAAGAAGGAGAAGAATTAGGAAACAGTTCATTTTGAATCAGGTTACTCCTAGGAGAGACTTTTTCTGAATCAGATTTGAAAATAAGATTGATGAATCGGGGGGAAAAGTAAAGTTACACCACACTACACAGAATCTTTGTCTTCGGGATTTGAAGATTAAGAATAGGTTGGATTTGGAATGCTACATTTATGTATGATTTTGACTTAGCTTGGCTTGGGTAATTGGAATGTTTGGATTGGAGATGCTTTTTTTCGGTATCGGTCTTTGGCGGGGTTTAGCAATGCTTTTGTGTGTGTAGGTGTTTGTTGGGATTGGGATGGAATAGGATTGCTTCGGTGGAATGCATCTGTTCTCGACTTTGATAATTTACTAACTCTGCTACTCTGGTTGAGGCAATTGTCTTGGTCATTGAGATAGATAGAGACGAAGGGTTATTATGTCCGTTATACCCGAGGGAGGTTTCTTGGCGGTGTATGGTATTGTATACGTGTTATGTATGGTGTATGGTTTCGTGTACTGGTATGTATTGCTCTGTATGGTCGATGGGCAGATGATTTCTTGATGAAAGGCATAGTTGCGATATTATGATTATCTGAATAGCACTATAGCTTATTTGTTTGCTTCCTCAGGATGGTGCATGGCGTGGCTGATGTGCGTGTTGGTAGATCATGTATAATACTGCTCAATATATATATCTCTCACTATATAATGTTCGGATATACTATCTACTAGGATCGAGTTGAGTTATTTCTGTAGTTAGTCATAGGATGGATTAAGCAAAAGTACTGGCTTCTAAGGTCAAATGTTATTTTAGTACTTTATTCAGCGAGAATCTACTTGTTGGACCTTCAGGTATCGACTGATAGTAGTATTTAAACTACACTAGAGGTATTCACAGATCCCATGCTGCTGTCCTCTGCTGTCAGCAGAGCTATTGGAAGCCATACTCCCTGGATCTTATTACCGCGCACTAAAGCCCCGAAAGCTGCTAGCGTTGTAGCTTCATGCACGCCATTTTTGTCACCTAATGTCTCACAGGCAGAGCAGACAGCCCCGAGGTTAGCCGGCGTTGTCCAAGTGACTAGTATCATTGACGATCAGACCATGCACAAGAGCTCCATGGTGCTGACTGGGATGATGTGCACCGTGTGTCTCTAGTCTTCTACACCGATCAAAGGATAATCTGTAGACTCCGTGGAACTTTCTGACCCTGCTGTGTTGTACTGCAATACCACATCCAGCAACATCTTGTAGCACATCCATGTCATCCTGCAGGTCGTCGAGGTATTGGCTCGTTAGCCGGACTCACTGAGTTGAGGACTCTGGAAAGGGATGTGATGAGCACCGCCGAAGAGATGCAGAGAGGCTTAGTTGTTGATGGGCTGCTCACCCTGTGAGATTGTCTCCGACTGCATCATGACGTTCAATAGGTGGGGGACGCTGATGACCTTGAGTAGTCTCCTTCGCTACTTCTTGTCCGATTTGTGTCAACCTTCTAAGCCTTCTCCTTGTTGTGCCATGTCAGCGTGCCGTGGCTGATCGTCACTTGATCTCTATTGCGTAGTAAAACTTAATCTCAACGGGAAAACTATATGCAGCAAATATACAAGTTAGACCAATCCTTTGACTAAAGCAGTAAATTGCAGAGTAGATTGCTCACATAATGATGACAGTGCCGAAACTGAATGACGAGCCTCGCAGGTATGAAGCCTTAAGGCGTCCCATGATAAGCCTTGAGAAAATAAAGCTTATCCGTAGCAAGACCTTCAAGCACTGACAAAATCACTTGAGACAGATCAATATAATGTGGCTTGCCTTAACTCGTATCCTTCGAATCCTTCGCTCATGAATGAAAAATGTTGCCATGAGAAAGTAGACGACCACTTTGATAGTGCAATGGCCGATAAGCTGACTCTCGGGCCACCTCTCAAAAGAACCCCTATTGAGAGCTGATAAGGAGTCCGCAACAAACTGTGCAAAGAACGAAGAAGATAAAGAGTTGCTGCGGGTTCAAGGTTTACTGTAGCCAAGTACCAGCGTTATGTTGCCATCGTGGATGCAATATCTCCATGCATCTCAACGAAAAATGCGGCCATGGCTGAAGGGCTTCTGTACCAAATTAGAAGTAGATGAGGAGTGGAGGACAGAAGTTAAAGAGGTTGCCTGAGCGCGGGTTAGCTGAATTATGGCAAGGCACTAAGTTAGTTTAATTTCTGCTCGGATAGTCGATTGCTAACTGGAACCTTACATACCACGTAAACACGTATGGTAAGCTAGCCTGGATGGAATCTTCCTCTAGGCCCTTCTTTTTTTTTCCTTTCTCTCTTGTTGTCGATACCCCTCGAGGGCGTGTTATGAACCATTATATTTAAGTACAGTGTACATAGGCTATGTCTATTTGCCAGAATAGTCTAACTTTGGGGTCCAGTATAACGCAGTTGAAGAAGTTGACTTGTCTGTCCTGATTATGCTTTACCAAGGGCCCGGGATTGTACGGTGCTTTACTGGTATGCCATCCCATGATCTTGTGTATTGTGGAATTTGCTACGAGGGGCAGTTATATCGAAAGTTGCTGATGGCTGTCGAACAGTTTGAAAAGAGTCAGGTTGAAAAGGGTCAGCAAATGCCCACCGCTTATATATCTACAGAGATCTAGTCGCTAGGCCTAGTCGTCACTTAAACACCATGCTATAGTGAATCAATGACTTGGTAATGGACTATTGCCTCATGTTGCAAGCCTTGGTGGAACTACATCCATGCATGTCGCATGCTTTCATTAACTATCTGAGGTGCAATAAATTCATCAGTTTACCACAACGCCTATCCGTTAAGCAATCTTCCCCAACCCCAGATACATCCTGCATATCCTGCCATTTTACTCCACATTCGAACCCGCTCTAGACGCGACCGTCTTGATAAATCGCCCCGTATGTAGGTAGCCAAACATAGTCTGCTTGACTTCAGTCAATGTGCATACCGGTAGCGAACTCGCAGCTGAGTGAGGTTAGCAGCATCCATCGTAGACAGACACGAGGGTACCTACGGGTCTGTCGCATACTGAACGTTGCAGTGCTCCCACTCAGGATCACGCACGAGAATCCCGCGGAACCGCACAGCATCCTCGATGGAGCAGAAGCGGAAGACGACGTTACGGGCCTAGTAAAATGAGTATGCTAAACACGAGAGGGAAAAAGGTAGAAGAAGACTCACATCTCCAGGCACATATGAGTCCAGAATCTTCTCAACCTTGCGACCACTGCCACAGGCCATGTTGTACAGCTGCGCCATGCTGGCATTCATGTCGACTCCGACAGCTCTCACGGCGCGAGTTGAACCGACAGACAGATTGAAAGAAAGCTGGGAGCTGACCACGTCAACCTCCTTGCCCATTTCCACGAACACGGTGATCCTTCTTTCTTTGTCAAGGTCGATGCCGTTCGGATACTTGTCGTAGAATGCCTGGCATGCTTCATGTTCACAAAAGAGGATATGAGCAGTTCCATTGCCATGGACATGGACACTTTCGATATTGCCACCGTGCACAAGCGACAGAACCTTAGCAGGGGTACACCAGGTGGCAGGCAAGCCTCGGAGGATGATACGACGGACACGAGAAGCTAGAACAAGTCATGTAAGTAAGTTATCCACCGGAAGATAGGATGTCATATATCTTACCTGGCTTGTCACGAGTAGCAGGGGTGCCCCAGCTCTTGAAAGTAGTGAGGTTCTCACGGTCCTCTACCTCACTGGCGTCACCTGAAGCTACAGCTCCCGAACCACGAGGACCAGCGCTGATAGTAGCAGCAGCATTGTAGTCCTGGGGCTTGGAGTCACCAAAAACACTGGACACTCCAGCCTTGGTGGTCTCGGGCTTCACTTCAAATTCTTCGGCATCAGGCTTGATACTCCACTCGTCGTCATAAGTGTTCTGACCGGAAGGTGCTACAGAAGACAATAACATTAGATATGTCGCGTCTCAACTTCACAATGGCTGTGGTCGCATGACACTTACCAAAAACATCAGCATCATCACGAGACGCGGTAGTATCGCGGCCAAAAGCATCAGTACGAGACTCGGGACGACTCATTGAAGTACTGGCCTTCTCACTGGACGCGTCGACAGCAACAGTAGGAGTGCCATAAGTCTTTGGCAGCTTCAAGGAGCGAGCAGCAGCCATGAAGCTGACCGTGTCGTCCACATCGGCGACAGGGAACGTTTTGATATTTTCCTTGTCCTCCATCGTGTTGTCAAACGAAGAAGATAAGGGAGAAGAAGGAAGAGAACAAGTGGAAAGGAAAGTGTCGATGGGAAGTATCGACGGAGAAGATTGAGATGGAAAATGAGGAGCAGAAGATGGGCGAGTTTTAATATCGTCAACAGTGAAGTGCGTGGCTTCGTTACCTGAACGACGAAGAGGGGGTTCCTGTTCAGGTCTAGCAGTCAGCTCAGCGAGAAAAGACTCTCACCGTGCTATGGTAAATTACAACAAGACGTATTGAATGTGCGAAAGAGCCGGTACAAGACAAACAGCAGGAAAGAGAGAGACTGACTGAGAGGTGTGTCTTCTTGGGAGCATGTCGGCTCTCTTCAAGACCGAAAGACGTCTTCTCCATGAAGGTTCCGACGACACCGTAGATTATACTGGTGACCCTGCTGGCAAATTCCATTGTAGGGACCGGACGCTTGTCCATGATAACTAGGAAGATTATGAAACGTTTGAGATGGAATATTAGGAGATATGTAGGTGTCTAACAAGAGGGAAGATGGTTGTAAGAGGAAGGACGCTAGGCAACAGATGAAAAGAAAGATGACCCAGCAACTGCACAGGAAGACAGACAAAGGAATAAGAGGGGCTAGCATACTACAATATAAATAGCATAGTAGGGAATAACACTTGAGGCCTAATATGATTGGCAAGTCCCGCCAAAATAGCTTGTGACCGAGGGTGATCTCGACGGTGAATGGCAGTTCGAGGGCGTTTTTGTAATACAGATCTACAAGCATCATTGTCCCATCCAATGTTGTTTCGAAATGTGATATATGTGGATTGCACTATGTCCATGGACGTCTATAGATGATATTTATGTACCCATAACTCGTGGCCTATACAGGAAAGAGAACAATGCAAATAATGCATGCAGGGAATATCTACACATTGACCGAAATCCCTTATGGAGGTACTTCAATCTCCTCATATCCCTTCTGGCCCTCTTTGCGATGCTCGATGATGACTTGAAGTCCCGGGCGTCCGCAAAAGCCATCTTTGCCTGCAACCCGATCAACGAGTTGAAATGACCCATTCCCCTCTCCATGTTCATCAGGGATCCAGACCTTCTCCTGAGAAATCTGGCCGGGTACTTCAGTTCGCCGAGGATTGAACCAAGGCATGCCGACGAAATGGTTGAGAAGATCATGGACCCAAGAGTACAGCTTCTCGAAGCGCCGCGTAGTCCCTAACCAGGAAAGGGTGCGGGTGTCGTACGCAACCCGGACATATGGATTGATATAGATCCCCGTGTCCGTGATCTTCTCTGGGTCCGGCTGAGGCTTCTGAATATCGGCATGGATAAGACAACACTCAGAAGCTTCCCAGAACGTATCATGTGACGCCCGGAACCGAGCAGGTGAATTGTCCTCGCCAGACAGCTGAGGCTGTATATCCATGACCGACAAATCTGTATCGCGCTGGAAGAACCGCGCGTCGAATGCTACCATTCCTCCCCAGCAACTCCGCACCCGCACAGCATCTTTCTGAGCTAGTACGTCCTGGCGGCTCTGACCTTGCCCAGCGCTAGTGAACCACGGGAAGAAAGGCACGCCCACGCCAAAGCCCTGCAGATCGCGTGTCGCATAAGTGTCATAAAATTTGAATGGGTTGATGAAATCCACGGCGCACGCGGCCCGGTATTGAGAAACGCCATCATCCGTGGCATTTGTGGAGAACAGAAGCTGGAGCGCATCCACCGGGTTGAATGCAACGTCGTTCAAGTAGAGCAGCTTGTCATAGCGCACTTCCGGCTGGTCGTCCAGCGGTTTTAGAGCTCGGTTCCGCACCTCCGCCAAGTACTCGATACGTTTGATTCGCCTTGAACCGTCGGGAACGGCAACTGTCGGTAAACCGGCCAGATCCAGATGCTGCTCGAAAACAATGGACTTCTGGCACGTGGCCCGATCTGCCAGATCTTGAAGCGCACTCTCTCCATCTCGACCGCTGTCGTTCTCATAGATGCTCAGGAAAACATTGTCTTCTCCGAGCAGATCGATCAGCTCAAGCACACTGTCCCCCCAATGTCCTCGTGCTAGATCACCATCAGGGTCATATAAGCTCGCTGCGATGAAGACTTTCTCATTGCGGATGTTGCCTCGGCCGGATTTGGTTGACTGAGACACCGCATTCCGAAGCGACAAGTAATGTGGCGGCGGCTGGGTGTAGGAGGGCCGGAATATGGAGGTTAGGACGATGAGAAGGAATATAACGCCGGCAACGGCAGAAACATAGTTGCAGATGCGGCGGAATAAAGAACGACGATAGCGACCGGAGTACCTCGACTCCGAAGGCTTCAAGTGACGATAACCGGCATAGGTTGATGAGAAGAGTCGCGACCACAGGGGCACTCTCCTGGAATCATCTGGATAATAATAGCCAATAGACATGGCAAACAGATCTTGACAGGCAAGTCGAAGCAATCACTCTGCTCAGCCCATGCCTAGGATACAATCGACCATGAAAAACCAGAGGCAGGCCAGCAACCAGGCAAACAAACCATCCTCTCTTCCCCAAACTTTGCGTCGCCAGGCTACGGGGTTTTCCCCTTTGCCACCAAAGGGGAGCGCACGCCTGCTTATGTCATCGGTGGAAAAGGAGTCTCCCCGCTCACGTGCCTTGCCGGCCATCGTGGAATTGGCCATTGTGGGAGGAGGGACTCCCTGCAGGGAACCCCAGACCACATGGGGGGATTGTGTCTAAAGAAGTCTCAAAACCATATCAGTTGAGGAGGGAGTTTACTGATAACGGCCGGGAACCCCGGGGGATTTCTATCAGGCCTACCTACTTTTAACAGTAAGTAGTACCAGACAATTGCCCCATAGTTACCTTCCGACCGGCCTTATCGTCGTGCTTCTAATCGCCCCGTAGTCTCCGATTACCCCACTCACCCAGAGTCATAGCTGTCATAGGCTCAAACCCTGTACCGCAGACGGTGAGGATCTAGTCCCTGCGACCGCATACCTATTCGAGTACCTGTGGCCCAGGTCAATCCGGATGCTGGCCTTAGTTCGGAGTGTCTACTACTAGTATGGTGTCGCTCGCTGTCCCAATCAATATGACGTAGGCCATTTTTGCTACAAGAGACCTCTGCTCTTCCTCACATCATCCATCTCTGGTTCTCCTTTCTCCTCCAAGACCTTCGTATTTTTGTTCCCTTGGAATAACTCCATCTCATTCCTATCCTTCCTTTTCAATTACCTTCTCTCAATTACCCTTCTCCAGTTCGAAACCGTCTAACGGGGTGAGGATCTTACAGACATTGCCCAAGCGTCCTCTTCACGGAACCAGACGGCAATCATGACCAAGTTCACTTTCGCCAATTCCTCCGAGAAGGTACCCGGTGATGGGATCCTCCCCGCCCAATTCTCCATCAGAGCGGCCCCTCAAACAGATGTTTGGTCCAAACCTCCATCCACAGACACATTCACTGCGCCGATTCTATACCGGAGTGTTCCGTTGAAGTCGTTCAAACGGGTCAGAGTCGCCTTCAACGCAGTCTGGCAGCAAAACTATGACCAGGGTGGACTCATCCTTGTCCTCAACGGTGCGGGAGGCACCCGGAAATGGGTCAAGACAGGCATCGAACTCACTCGTGGCCGACCTCACCTAAGTACCGTCACCAAAGACAATTGGGCGGACTGGAGTCTGCAGCCTGTCCCGTCAGGAGGTGGAGCGGCGACACTAGAGCTGGTCCGGGAGTCAGACAATAGCCTATGGGTTTATCTCGTGGAAGGCATCCAGAAATCCCCTCTTCGGGAAGTCACCTGGGTGTTCGAGGAACCGGATGTTCAAGACCTCTGGGTTGGGCTCTATGCAGCACGGCCTTCGAAAGAGGGGGAGGACCTGGTGGTGAACTTTGGCCATCTGATACTCGACACGTCAGATTAATGGATGTCCTGTGTGCAAATGTATCTTATGTATAATGTCCATGGTGGTCATGTCATCTAGATCCTGTCCTGAGTCGATTTGCAGTCCCTATAATGTTGATACTTCGGATGATGGATTTCAGGTATCCCACCTGAAATAGAATGGTACAATGCAATCTCAATTTCCAGACCGTAAGAACACGTACTGCTGAAATTGCAAGCTTGTAGTAGCAGTCCTCGATGTGTGCCGGATAAGTAGTATTCGAGTGTCACTGAGGATAATTGCCAATCATAACTGAGATCCGGCTATCTGCCAGCTCCATTACCGTCACTGGTTCGATTCCCAGAAGCACCGACCACCACCATCATGGATGACTGAATGCATAGATAGGTAATACGCCAGCTGTTATTGGGGACATGGATTTTCGGCAAACCAAATCACATGAAACAAGACCAGCATAGGGCGTCAAACTCATGGCCAGCATATTCACATTCTTGAGAACCGAGCTCATAGCCTATCTGCTGGGTCGGAGTCGAAGGATTAAAATCAAAAGAGGGGGTGGAAGAGGAGAGCAGGGTAACTAAAAGTATCTGGTCTATATGCAAGAAATGCAGCCCATATGAACTGATCCGACTCGAAGCGAACAGAAAAGAAAAAAGTAGTAGCACTTGGAGAATCTTGACCAACCGCAAGAAAACTCCGTGTGCAACCTATACGAGGAAGAAAACAACGCTAAGCTTTACCACAGCGGTGTCGTACAGTGGGCAGTGTACCCATTCCGGAGGGTTGCGAACCGGACTTGAAGCCCAATACAATATCTTTACCCTTTTGAGTAGGTGGGTGGATCGTTAAAGTTCGGCTCGACTCTTCCGTGACCACGACCGACCAGAAAAATATCGCATTAATTTCCTGCGGCTTTCGCGCCTTCTTGTCAATATTTACTGTGGAGTTTCGCACCCCTCGAAAAGTCGAATCTCCTATCCAGGATGGTCTTACCTAGATGATCCGGTGATTGTTATTACTCACACGGGATGATCGTTGCTCGAGGGGTAAGAGTAAAACTGTAGGCTGCGGAGACTATGCATCACCCCGTGACCGACGGATGATGACCAGGAGCGGTTGTTCCCGAGTCATCCAGCATCGGCTGTGTGCCACTTTCCCCCAATCATTGCGATGGGGCCGGGATTTCTCATCGACGATTACGCAGAGTCTTTGCTGAGCAATCAAATAATTCCGGGATTCCTGATTTCTTTCGTTGGCGTGATTACAATTACTCTGTGTCTCCATAAGACATTCAAAGAGTGGATGAAAAATGTGAGAGAATGGAGTAGTACTATTACGCTGTGCAATACATAGTATAGTAGTAGTAGTACGGTGTTGGATCAGTCAGGTTCGGCCTGCAAGGGGGAAGCGTGGATGATGCGCGCCTTCATTCTTCTTACGAGCAGAATGTCAGGCGGTCTGAAAGGAACAGTATAAAAAGGGCAGCAGTATATATGCTATGCTTATGCTGCACATACTCTTTGTTCTCTTATTTTATTATATTTTCTTCAACACAAGAACTACATTGTAATAAACTCGAATAATATAAAATCCATCTTATTGTTTATCCCAGGCTTTCCTTTTTCCGGGTCCGACCGCCGGACCAGGTGATCTTATCATATCTGATGTTCAGTTGCCCGCCTGCGTAGGATTCAGAATCCCGGTCGCCTTGCCACACTATCCTTCCTCCCCCCCCACCAACACCACCACGCTTGTTCCCTAGTGAACTCCTGCAGTCGAAGCCTTCTTTGCAGCAAGGCCCAGGGGTACATGCTCACTCGATCCTCCTCATTTCCCGCTTTCTATCCGTCTACGAAAGAAACTCTCGCCCCTTCCCCGTCAATGGGTGCCCGTGGCCGAGGCACAAGCTTTGCAACCATCCAGCCCATCCGAAAGTCCCCTCGGTCTCATTCGACCAACGACTGGCGTGGGACAAAACAAAACATTGACAGCTCCGTTCGGACTATCTGGTGCAGCAATTCAGCGGGTGCCACACTACCCTTCTGGGCCACGGGCGTTTAGCCCATAGGCTAGGTCCTGGGCCTCCCACTTGGACTTGCATAAGTGCGGCCTGTCGATCGTGTCCAGTGGTGTGAATCATATCGGGGAGCCTGATTTGGGCTTGCAGACTCATAGCTGAGCCCCTTGGCCTCCATTCTCCGGGCTGTACGCCAGATCTGGCGATCCACGCGTGCTGCGCATTCCGCTGCTTGATTTGGTGACCTAACTGATGCATGTGGTACCCAAACCTGGCTTCAGGGTGCTCCATCTTGCTAGTGTCTTTTGCTTTTTTCTTACCCTGCTTATTCTTTAGACTTTGATACCCCCTCTTCGTTGGCTAGTGTATTGCTTTTTCGTTTGGTGGATCTGGCTGGTACAGGTCGCAGATACCCTTTTACGTCCGCTTAGCCTTGCAATCGTCAGCCTGCTCCGTCCTTTTCATGCCTGCTACTTCGACATTGAAACTATCGGACTCAAACTGTTGCTTCATCTGCTACCTTCGCCACGACGAAGTATTTGACGACCTATCGCAATAAATGGACCCTGGTCATCTTATAGCTACCCAGCGATACCATCCATCAACGATTACGGCGCAGCCGCGATGCCCCTTCTCGACCACCGCTCAGCAGTCTCATATGGTACCCTCGATCAAATGGATCAAGACAACAGGGAGGCGGAGGAGCGCCTCCTTCAGGCGGAATACGACCCTGAAGGGCATGATAGTGAAGTAGAATCCTCGGTGGATTCGGTTCAGGAGGGTGTTCGGAAGATTGAAGCGATCAATCTGACATGGACAACACGGTCGTTGATTATAGCATATGTCAGGTAAGCCTCGTAAATTATCAGGATTGGTGTCTGCTCTCAATATCCTTCGTCGTTGCTAATGGTGTTGAAGCATCTTCCTCATGGCTTTCTGTACCTCGCTCGAAAGCCAAACCGTGATGTCCCTTTCGGCTTATGCCACCAGTGCTTTCAGCAAGCACTCCCTTATCTCTACGGTTCTCGTTGTTCAAAATGTGGTGAACGGTGAGTATATTTCTCCCTTGGGGTTATTTTTATTCTCTGCTGACCCTCGTAGCTGTTATCAAGCCTCCTATGGCTAAGGTTGCCGACGTCTTCGGTCGGTTCGAAGCGTTCTGTGTCAGCATCCTTATATACGTTCTAGGATACATCCAAATGGCTGCGTCGACCAACGTTCAGACATATGCCTCCGCGCAGATTTTCTACGCTGCCGGATCTACCGGCTTGCAGATACTTCAACAGGTGTTTATTGCTGACAGCAGCAGCCTATTGAACCGTGCGCTCCTGGCGCTTCTACCAGAGCTTCCATTCTTGGTCACGGTCTGGATTGGCCCGACTATTGCAAATGCAGTGCTTCAGCATACATCCTGGCGATGGGGTTATGGAATGTGGTCGATCCTCCTACCTGCCTCGTTTCTTCCGTTGGCACTTTCGCTATTGTTCAACCAACGCAAGGCTCGAAGACTGAACTTGATCAAGCCTAGACACCCTCATCGGCGAGGTCTCCTTTCCATTATTCGCCACACTTGGTACGATCTTGACATGTTCGGTCTGATCTTGCTCTCGACAGCGGTGACCTTGATTTTGGTCCCTCTTACGCTTGCTTCTAATGCCAAGAATGGATGGAAGAATGGCAGCATCATCGCGATGATTGTCATTGGCATTCTTTGCCTTTTTGCGCTTCCCGCCTGGGAAACATCAAAGAAACTGGCCCCCAAGCCTCTGTTGTCCCTGCATCTACTCAAAGACCGAACAGCGCTCGCAGGGTGTACCCTCGCATTCTTCTATTTTAGTAAGACTCCACTTCCTCACAAATCAAGGTACTCTGCTAATTCGTCTTAGTGGCGTTCTATTTCTCGGTTCAGCCTTACCTCTACTCTTACCTGCAGGTTGTTCAGGGCTATGATGTTGCCACAGCTGGCCGTGTGACCCAAACCTTTGCCTTCACGTCGACTATCGCTGCCTTCGTTGTGTCATTGCTCATTAAATATACGCGCCGGTACCGGATCTATGTCACCTGCGGTTGCGTCATCTACATTGGTGGAATCTTGTTGATGTTGCTCTACCGTAAGGAGGGAAGCTCACCGGCGCAGATCTTGGGGACGCAGATCATTGTTGGCATGGGCGGCGGACTCCTCAACGTTCCAGTGCAGTTGGGCGTTCAGGCCTCTGCTAGCCACCAAGAAGTTGCTGCAGCGACGGCAATGTTCTTGACTTCCATGGAGATGGGTGGGGCCGTTGGAGCAGCCATTTCAGGAGCCGTTTGGACACATCATATCCCGAGAAAGCTGCAACTCTACCTCCCTGATGAGTTCAAATCGGATGCAGGTGAAATCTTCGGGAAGTTGACCAAGGCATTGTCTTACCCGATGGGATCCCCCGTCCGGGTAGCGATCAATCGCGCATACCAGGAGACCATGAATAAGCTCCTGGTTCTGGCGTTCGTTGTCACGATTCCGCTGATCCCGCTCAGTCTACTGATGACGAATTACAAACTGGATAAGGTAAGTGCTTGTGAAGATGGCGTTGATATTGAACCAATTGATTAACGATGGAGTAGATGAGCGAGTCATCCGACCACGAGCCGATCCCAGTTGAAGATGAGGCTGAGCCTGAGGGGCGTGCGAAACGAACCTGACAGAGCGCATTGGCGTTCATGTACCCTTCGCTTGAATCTGCTATATTGTACAAACACATACAGGGAGAGCATCCCGGTTAGATTGCAAGGGCACGCTATTTTTATTTCGCCTGCTGTCAACCGTCGCAAACCCGCATGGGATAGAGAAGGCGGTGTGGATAACCCCAGAACTTGGGATCCAAAAATGGACTGTGTACAAACCAAACTATATACTTTGATGATTGATTGGTTGCCATTGCTTTTCATGCTTTTGGATTGAGGCCGACAGTGCCGTTTGTGCGAGCATTCACTTGGCGTTCTGGAGTCTCCTTGATGGCTTGCGCCATGAAACTCAAGCTGCAACGGCGAGAACGACCGGCAGCGGATGATCCTGCGGGATGATATTATAGATGTTACGACTAGACTAGATGATTTATGGGTCACGTTATATATATATAGCAAGCATTGGTACTTTTTGATTGGAATTTCACTTGCGCCTTGTTTCCTGCAGGTTCTGATTGATTGATGTAGTGGTGCGACGATAGTAACGCTGAGGATTGGACCGGGGCCGGGGGGGGGTTATGGGAAAAAGGGAAAGCAGATTGATATGTATCGATCCCCAGGGTGGAATCTGGGCCCCGTCATGAAACTTAGCGCGGGGTCGTTTTATTGGGGTCGGTCTGGGCGTTTGCAAAGCTGAATATCTAGTAGTACTAACTAGTAGTACAAAGCCAGTAGATAGACGAGATGAAGAGGGCGGTCGGTGCTGTCCAACCAGCCCCGTGCAAGGTTGGGATGGCATGGCATGGCATGGCATAGCCCTGACCCTGGCCTCATTGTTACCTACCCTCGTCGATGACACCCCTCGGGGTGGCAGTTGATCACAATCACTGCTACTTGCTACTGCCTACTGACTACTAGCTTCACTAACTGCTAGGTTGTTCCTCCTTGGGCGCGTAGCGAATCAAGCTAGGACAGGCGCAGTCAGTGCGACCGTCTGGGCAAGCCAGATTGATTGGCTCAGCATCTGATGCTCAGTGTGACGGGATTCATGGCGAAATTACCATGATTGATTCCTTACCCAACTGGAGGTGTTACCTAACCTTACTTAACTTTACTCACTTTACTTTCGCCTGAGCCTTAGGATCATTACTGCCTGCCTGCCTTAGCCTTACCTTACACTAGACAGACAGCCAGCCTGACTTCCGAGGCAAGCCTGGGGCCGGAGAGAGTGTGTGATGAGATTGTTGGATTTGCTTTTGATGGAGCATGGTCGGTTATTGCAGGAGTTCGTAAGGAAGTAGGTAGTTAAGTAGTAACTGTTATGAACTGAAAGAGTAGGCCTCGCTTTTCTTCTCTTCTTTCTCTTTATCCCTTTCTTCATCATCGGTTTTATTTACTCTCGTCATTTTTTTTTCCTACCACAGCTCTGTTTCGTCTTATTCTATCGATCGGATCCGATCAAGTTGCGGCTTTTAATTGCTTTTGGGTGTTGGATGACTTGACTTGGCTCTCCTTCCTCCACCCTCTCTTCCTCGGTCTGGTATTTACCACCACCATCTCATCACATCTCATCTCTCTGCGCTTCCTCGGCATCACTATCGTTGCGGAAGACAAGACGATCGAGATTCTAGTGAAAGAAAAAATTACGGAAGAGAGAAGGGTCGCGACAGGATAGAATAAAAGGGGGTGGTTTATCTAGGTTGTCGTCATATTGGCCTTAGTCCGATCTCTGTAAGTTGTCTCTTATCTTAGGTTGTGGATCGCCGTTGTGTTGCTTTTTCGTCTGGCCGTTCAGTGGGTAAAGTAAAAGAGCGTGACGGGGGGGGAATGAAGAAGTCTTTTCCTTTGGGAGTTTCATCAGCAGCCCAGGGTAAATTACTTCAAACGGTGGCGCAACTGGTGACCATCAAAAAGAGAAATTGTTGTCAGAGGTGTGAAAAAAAAAAAAAAAAAAGGCGGGCGATAAAAAAGAACCTGCTAACTAGAGATACCTAAACCAGGAGCTAACTAACTAACGGTGCGGTGCGGGTTGCCCCATTTACAAGCCAAAGCAGCAAAGCAGCAGCAGCAGCAGCAAAAAGCAGAAAAGTAGCAGCAGCGTCTTTTCCTTCCTCCTTACTACTAGTAAGGTATCGTCTCCGTCCTCCGCCTACTGCCTCCTCCCTCCCACATTGGCTGGCTTCCTCACCAACCATCCCTCTCTCTCACCGTCGACATTCACCGCACACCACCTCCCCATCCGTGAATCCAGACGGCCTCGCCCATCCACCGCGTCTGTCCTCTCCATCTTAGCCGCCTCACCTTCTCGTTCCCTTCCACTTCCTCCTCACTAACTCACTCACTCTCTCTCTCCCCCCCTCTCTTTCTCAACACCCAATCGGTCTTCCCCCTCACTCGTCTCCTCCCTCCCCCCCCCCCCCTGGTTCACCGCATCTCCTGCTTCTCCTGTCCCTGCTCTCCTCTCGGCATCCGACAGACGACCTTCCGTGATTCTCTGCACCTTCTCTCCCGCAAACTTCACGGTTCTTCAAAGTTTACAATATGGTCGTGGCAACAATTAAGTGCGTTGTTCTCTTCATCATCTTTATCCCTTTCTCTCCGCAATTACTTTTCCCCCCTCCTCCTCTCTTTCCCCTCCCCCCATTCGAACCCTCCCTCCTCTATCCTGCTTCTCCCTCTCCTTTCTCCGTGCAACCCGATACATTCATCCTTTCTTCGAGCGGCAAGTGGCTAACCATGATTTGACTTTCGTCGCAGATGTGTTGTCGTCGGTGACGGTGCCGTTGGCAAGACCTGCCTTTTGATCTCCTACACGACGAACAAGTTCCCTTCCGAATATGTTCCCACGGTGTTCGATAACTATGCCGTCACGGTCATGTAAGTTAGGGATCCCCTATCTTGAGACATGGTTTGCATATCGGGAGTCTGTCGGAATGCGCTATATCACGCTCGCAATAGCGGTATTGGTGCACCCGATGTCGCTGGCTTGACAAATGCGATGGCGTCTGTGGACAAATATCGGAATCTGCAGCTGACTCGAACCCCGTTGCGCAATAGGATTGGCGATGAGCCCTACACCCTGGGATTGTTCGATACTGCTGGTCAGGAGGATTACGATCGTCTCCGTCCTCTTTCGTACCCTCAGACGGATGTCTTCCTCGTTTGCTTTTCGGTCACTTCGCCTGCCTCCTTTGAGAACGTACGCGAAAAGTGGTTCCCCGAGGTGCACCACCACTGCCCCGGTGTCCCCTGCCTGATCGTGGGCACCCAAACCGATCTTCGCGACGATCCCGCGGTCCGCGAGAAGCTTTCCCGCCAGAAGATGCAACCGATTCGCAAGGAAGATGGAGACCGTATGGCCAAGGAGCTGGGCGCAGTGAAATACGTCGAGTGTTCTGCTCTCACGCAGTACAAGCTCAAGGACGTTTTTGACGAGGTTAGTGTCGCGCCACATCCCGCATCGTCGCATCTACTCACACATCTTTACTCTAGGCCATTGTTGCCGCGCTCGAGCCTGCTCCCAAGAAGTCGAAGAAGTGCGTCCTGCTGTAATTGATCCCGGGATCTTACAGGGCAGGCCCGTACGCTCCGGAGGGTTCAAGGCCTGTCATTGATGCATCGCAGACACGTCGTATGATTTTGGGAGACTGAATGTGCTTTATCTATGCAATATGGAGTTTTGGGGATTCTTTCGTACAAAGGTGGCTGGCTTCTTCGACCGACGTCTGACTTGACATTCTGTGTTCGTTCACTGATTCTTGAGTGAATACACATCTTACAACCCGTAACACCCAAGTGTGCTCTTCCCTCTTCGCTCGGTTGTCTCTGCGCTGCTGAGCCCTGTCTACCTCAAGCAGACCTGCCATCGAGAGCTCTTCCTCATTCTATCGGAACCTCTTGTCTCCTGACTTTCGTCTCGTCCTACCTGGTCAGCGTCGTTTCTTGATCCTCCGACCTTCATTATCCCCTCACTGTGTTCCCTCCACCTTTTTCCCCACTGTCAATTCCTCTCTAAACTACCCCCTTTTCACCTTTAACCAACACGTTTCCACAACCCCACACACACCCCCACCTTTTCTCTTCCTCAAACAAACCCCCTTTACTCCCTTTCGAACCTCTCATCGTCTCTATCGGCGTTGGAAGTCGAGGCGTCTTGTTTTGGCTGGCTGATGGTTTTTCCCTTTTCTTTTTCTTTTTTCTCTATCTTCTTTTCTTTGATGTCCCTCATACTTTGCGATCTGTTATCATGCCGATCCCACCCGTCCCAAATTTGCTGTGCAATTTGTTCTCCCGAGCTGCAGCCCTTTATTCTTCTTTTTCCTTTTCTTTGCTCATTGTCTTCAAAGCCTGGACTAGATAACAGATACAATAGTGATGACCAAGTTACCCCTTTATATATTATGGTTAGATGTTGTTGTTGTTGTGGTTGCTGGTTCGTGAGGTAGTAGTTGATTGATTAGTCTCGTCTATATAGTATCTAGTATTTGCTGATATGGATTTATTCACCTATTCGATGAGTTGATTGAGCCTACAGTAAGATTACTTAGACTTAGGAGTACGTTATGTATTTCATGATATACCTGCATCAGGCTTGACTAATTAACTCAACTCGTTCATTATACATACATACATTCACATAACTTCATATCGTATATCTCATTTACAACTCATCCTTGGCCTCCTTCTTCTCCACAGCTTCCTCTGCCTCCTCCTCAAAAACAGTCTCCTCAACCGGCATCACCTTCCGTCCGTACCATCCACCCAACTCTTCACCCGCACCAGCCTTAACCATGCTAGTGATGATCTCAAACGCCACCTGCGCAGCCGCCAAGGCCGTAGTCTCGCCCTTGTTATCATAGCTAGGAGACACCTCGACGATATCGGCGCCAACAATGTTCAGCTTCTCAATGCCGCGCAGGATGCGAATGAACTCGCGGGTCGTCCAGCCACCAGGCTCGGGGGTACCAGTTCCGGGGGCAGTGGCGGGGTCCAGGACATCAATGTCAACGGACAGGTAGACAGGCTGGTCGGAGTCCAGACCGATGCGCTCGATGATGCGGTTCACGATGCCCATGGGACCGAGGTCGTCGATGTCGTCGGCGTGGATGCGCATGAATCCCTGCTCCGGGCCCGGGTTGGTGTAGTCGCTGTCGTCAACGCCGGTCAAACGCGTGCGGAGACCAGCGTGTGCGGAGGTCGAGTTGCAGATCAGACCTTCGCGGCTGGCTTTGTGGAAGAAACTACCGTGGTTGAAGTGCGCTTGTTCGGAGGTCCAGTAGGCTGAGTAGCGCACGGGGTTCCAGGTGTCCAGGTGCGCGTCGAAGTGAAGCACCGTGATGGGCTTCTGGTAGATTTGGTACAGTGCGCGCAGGGCTGGTAGTGCGACACTGTGGTCGCCTCCCAATGTGACGAGCTTCGATTTGCCCGCGGAGATACCCTTCGTGCCGTACTTGGAGGAGGCGGTGGTCAGGGCCGGGCGAGAGCCCAGTTCCAGGAAGGCTTCGTACATCTGGCGCTCCGCAACGCCATTGTCAAATGGGGTGATCGGGATGTCGCCGCAGTCTTTGACTGTCGCCCATGAGGCGTAGGGGTTGATTCCCGCTCGGGTGTTGTAGCTCGTGCCGGCCATTTGGCGGGCGCTAGCTGCCCGGATGGAGCGCGGGCCAAAGCGAGCGCCTGGAGGGGTGTTAGTGAGTTTGGGGGGGCAGACTGTGAGGTTATTGGGTGTCTTACCTGGTCTGTAGCTGACTGCCGTGTCGAAGGGGGCGCCGATGACGGCGATGTCGTACCGTTCGTCGGGTTCGATCAGGCATTTGACTGGCTTTAGGTGGGCAAAGCTGGCAATGCCGGAGAAGGTGAACTGGAATGGTGTGTGAGTGTGAGTGCGAAATATACTGGTGGGATTGGAGAGCCTACCTCCTGGTCCCATTTCCTCAGCAACTCCTCGCGCACATGCTCTGGCACCTCTTCGTGGTCGTGGTGAGCGTGGGCAAAGGCTGTACCAGCCAGTGCCAGGCAAGCAGCCCAAGTGAGGGATTTCATGGCGAAATTGAGGACCTCACTCGAGGGTATTGGGGGTGTAAGAGAGATAAGGAAGCAATGAAAGGAGGGGAAATTCGGAGCAGCAATCGGAGAGGACTAAATAGCGGTGGTAGTTGCGTTGACATAAAAAAATACATGCCATGAATAGAATAGTAATAATAATGGCCACTGGGGATGATGGGCCTCTATCCCTTATCGATACGGAGATTGACCCTCATTGGCCAGGATATGGCCGTAAAGGGAAATATTGATGCCTTTATGCCTGGCGTCACTGACGTCGTGCGGACCTTCCCTTTTTGGTCAACTTCTTCATCGTCTCAATGCGGAAGGAACACCCTTGACCCCCATTTCTCGCCTCGTCCATTGGCTGCGTTGAGCTTCACCACTTCATCTCTTCCATCTTCTTCCATCCATTCATTCTAGTCTCTCCCGCTTTTCCCCAACATCGGTATAGTGTCGCGGGAGTTTGGACCTGCATTCCGTCTGCAGTCTGCGGAGACAAACCACCCGCAGCGAGACTAGACGTGAAATACCTCGACCATAGTAATCACGTACCGTGTATCCCCAGAATGCCATGCGTCGTGTTGTCGTGACTGGACTTGGAGCAGTGACACCTCTAGGAGTAGGTGAGTGATGCCTCCATGCGCAATTAAGCATGTCCCAAACAACCTCGTCATGGCCGTGGTTCTACCATCTTTTTTTTCTCGGTCCCCAGCGTCTCCACTTCCACTCTTCCGGAAAGGGAAGGTCTTGCACTACCTCATATCCATGCCCAGGAAGGCAACTGTACACGATCAATGCTCTTTCTATATTTGCTAAGTAATTTCTCGTAGGTTTCCGTCGTACTTGGAAACGTCTCCTGGATGGTCACTGTGGCATCGTTAATGTCAACCATCGCGATACCAGGTTTGCAGATCTGCCATGTCAGATCGCAGCAGTTGTGCCGCAAGGTGCACGAAAGGATGGATGTTGGACGGCTTCGGAGTGGCTAAGTCGAGATGTAGGCATATAATAGTGCTTGTTAGGATTGTAACTGATGTTCTGCAGGAGGAGCGCAAGATGGCTCGGTTCGCTCAGTATGCCATGGCTGCGTCAGAAGAGGCTCTTGAAGACTCGGGCTGGAAGCCTACAGATTTTGAACAACGAGAGGCTACTGTATGTATTGTCGGTGCTTTTCGACATTATATCCCTAACTCTATGTCAGGGAGTCTGCCTTGGATCAGGAATTGGCAACTTTGATGAGATTTATGACACAGTTGTTGCATATGACAAGGGGGTCAGTCCGACAAGTCTAATCATCCATTCACCATGCTCACAAGTCATAGGGCTACCGTAAAGTGTCACCTTTGTTCGTACCGAAGCTTCTGATCAATCTTGGGGCTGGACACATCTCCATGAGGTATGGGTTCATGGTAAGAGCACTTCCTTACGCCTGTTCTTCCACTGCTGATGATACAGGGTCCAAATCACTCAGCAACAACGGCTTGTACAACTGGGGCTCATTCTATAGGCGATGCTGCCCGCTTTATCGCCTTCGGTGATGCAGATGTGATGCTGGCCGGCGGAGCAGAGTCTTGCATTCATCCACTAGCTGTCGGAGGCTTTGCTCGGGCCCGCAGTTTGGCTACGAGCTTTAATGATTCACCTGAAAAAGCATCAAGACCGTTTGACGCGGGTCGTGAAGGTTTTGTGGTCGGTGAAGGCGCGGCAATGTTGGTCTTGGAGGTATTATCCATAACAGATGCTTACCGATGGAAACTTTCTAATCTGTTGTCAGGAGCTCGAACACGCAAAAGCAAGAGGAGCTCGAATTTATGCCGAATTGAGAGGCTACGGCTGTTCTGGTGATGCACACCATATGACAGCACCTAAAGAGAACGGCGAAGGTGCATTCCTAGCCATGAGGAAAGCTCTGAAAAACGCCGGACTCCCCCCTTCTGCAGTCGACTACGTCAACGCTCATGCCACTTCGACCGTGGTCGGAGATGCAGCAGAAAACGCTGCCATCAAGTCCTTGCTCCTGGGACCGGGAGGAAAGCAACGGGCGACGGAAGTTAACATTAGTAGCACCAAGGGAGCCGTCGGCCATTTGCTCGGTGGTGCGGGCGCCATTGAAGCTTTGTTCTCGATTCTCGCCGTTAACGAGGTGAGCGACCTTGGTCAACAATACATAACACTGCTAACGGCGAGTTTAGAATGTGATGCCACCTACCATCAATCTGGAGCGGTTGGCTGATGGGTTTGACTGCAACTATGCCCTGAAACAGGCTCAGGAGCGCACCATTGACGTGGCTTTAACAAACAGTTTTGGATTTGGAGGAACGAACAGTAGTTTGTGCTTCTCGAAGCATGCAGGGTAGGCGGATTGTATATCATATGATATTGGCGGGTTTGCATATTGCATTGCATTGTATCAATAAACATGTACCACAAGGCGGATGTAACTGCCAGTCATATTGAAGTAACACGTTTGACTGGCCAACGTGGTCAGTGACAGCCATTTCACATAATCAGGCATGTAAGAGAATTTTCTTCTCACTCAACACCATCATGAAGAATAGTTGTGTTGGTCTCCAAGTAAGCCGACTTGAACCCATCCATCATCCCTCCCTTACGCATGATCCACTCACCGCAGCCTCCTTCAACACAACAAAGGAATCAACCGAAACACAGCGACCACAATACCCCAGACAAATCTCACTAAACCTTCATCCATCATTCACAATAAAATCTCCAGGCGAACCTATTTCACACCAATAACCCAGACGTTCAATCCCCCTCCATCCGACGGCCACTTAACTAACCACCCACGTGACCTCCCCAAATGCGGAGCGCCCCGGACTGTGAGTGAGAGAGTGAGAGAGTGTGCTCAGCGCAAGCCTCGACCAACTAAGATACCGCACCTCCCCCAGCAACGTCACCGTCCCCCTTTTCCCTCGCGGTCGGAGCTAGATACATAGCTTTAATTCCAATCCCATCCTATCCTATTTTTCTATTTCCTTGACGATATCGCTCCTTGATTTCCGACGGTCGAGAGAGAAAGCGCGCGCGCGTGTGTGGGTGGTCGGTCGTTTCGTTTCCACATAATCATGGCTACTGCTACCGGCGGCAGAGGTCCGTTATAGGCACCCCCCCTCCTCTCCCCTCCCGATAATCCCACCACGCAATGATGATTTAGGGGAAATCCACCAAGATACACGCTGTTATATTTACGAATCATGCTAATATTAGTGTTGTAGCGTCCTCTGCCTCTTCTACCCCGGCGGGGAGTCTGGTCGATGCGTCGGGGTATAAGTATGCCGAGAAGGATACCAAACCTGGGAAGATTAAGTTGAAGAAGTCGGCGGCGAATGCTAAGTCCGGGAAGAAGAAGGGTGATGGTTTGTTATATCCCTCTGTCCCTTCCCCTTGGTCTGGGGATGGGTTCTAGTGGTGGTATGCTGATGGAAGTTGTTGCGAGCTTATAGTGCCTGAATCCCCCGGTTCCTCGTCGCCTATATTACCCGATATCGATGAAAAGACTATGGCTGCGTTCCCGACGGGGAAGCCCCGCGAAGAAGATCATCTCGAGACGGTCATTTGTAAGACGTGCAAGAGGCCGGTGTTGAAGCAGAATGCGGTGGAACATATTCGAGGTTGTATTCGCGCGAAGCAGGAGAAGGCCAGGAAGAAGAAGGAGGCACGGGATGCGGCGAATCGCGCAAAGGAGAAGGGTGATAAGGATGGTGATGAAGATGTGGGTGCTGGTGAGAAGGGTGAGGGTGGTGAAGATTCGATGAAGGGTCAGAAGAGCGCGAAGAAGTCCGCTGTTAAGGGAATGGCGGAGGATGGGACGAAAAAGGGGAAGAAGCGCAAAACGGAGGCCGGTGAGGATGATAAGGATAAGGAACCGAAGAAGAAGAAAAAGAAGGAGGAGCCCAAACCGAAGGTGCCGAAGCCGAAGGGCCCTGTTGATGTTGAGAAGCAGTGTGGTGTTACTTTGCCGAATGGTGCGCAGTGCGCTAGGTCGTTGACTTGTAAGAGTCATTCGATGGGCGCGAAGAGAGCTGTTCCGGGGCGTTCGTTGCCGTATGATATGTTGTTGCAGGCGTATCAGAAGAAGAACCAGGCGAGGCAGCAGAGTAAGTGGTTTTGTGGCTTATGGTGCCCGAGTCTGGGCTTGGTTGGGTAATGCTAATGCTGGTTTCTACAGAGGCTGCTATCGATGCGAACGCTCCGCTACAAGATGATTTGGATAACAATGGGCCTGTTGACTCGGACGAAGAGAAAGATACTGTCATGGCGGCCATTTCTCGCTCTCATCCATACCCGATGGTGACTCATACATTGATCTCGACGAAGAAGAAGTACCAATATGTGCGGATCAAGGAGATGCTGTCCCATGCATTGGGTGGCTCACGCGGTGGTGGGCTCTTCTCGACAGGAGATACTCTCTCCTCTCCGTTTCCGGATGGCGGCAGCCTGTTCACCCCTGTAGAGGAGGTGTCTGTGCCCGAGCCTATGGCCGTGGATGAGCCGGAGCCGGCAGAAACGCAGGAAAATGCGACAGATGCTGGTGCGAAGACACCGGCACCTGAAGCCAAGAAGGTGCCAGTGGCGGCGGCTAGCTCGTAGAGCTCTCGCTGGGTAACGAGTGATGAAAGGCTCCCAGGATCGGATATACATATAGCCCGCTTATGGGCAGGGAGTTTGGGCGATGCTGGATGGCGTTTCTGAAACGGTTTTGGGTCTTTTGGTTTGCTATTTGATAAGATACCCCGCGCTCAGTCTTGCTGGCGTGCATTATTGTAAATTAAAGTCGGTGCTTCTTTGGCCGTATTGGTAGAATGCAAATCATTCTGCATGCTAAATCTTTTTCCATGGCTGTTGGGTAATACATCAACGCATAGTCTACGGCATTTACTGTGCTTGCATGAAGTCAATAAAAACGCCATTTCCCACCGTGGTATCGCATTGTCAGACGACAAGAACGGCAACGTGATGCCTCAGGCCACCGAGTATCTCCGAACCTCCGCAGATGGGAGTCAAAGCTACCTTCGTTACCTCAATGCGCCTGCTCTCACTTTCCCAACGAACGCCAACACACCACCACCACGCCCCTATATAATTCTCCTTCTATCCACCTACTGCTGAGCACCTTTTGCGCCTTGCGCCTGCGGGCGAGAAGCTCTACCACCAGCGTGACCACCATTTCTCAAAACCATTATTCCTCATAACCTCGCCCACTCCTCCCCTCCTCCCATACAGAAATATTCAGTCCGACCACAATGAGCAACTCAGTCCCCGATCTCGATGCCGTCGGCATCAAAGCAGACCCCGAACTCGCCGACCAATTCCGTCGCGAAGTTGCCACCCTCCTCGGCCGCAATAATCTCAACTTCCCCGGCGCGCAACCCGTCAGTTTCTCGACACGGCATCTAACCGAGCTCCAACGAGAAGATTACTACGTGTGCGAGAAGACGGACGGAATTCGATGTTTGATGTACTTTGCGCGGGGCGAACCGGATTCCGACACTCCTGAAATCCACTACTTGATTGATCGCAAAAACGACTACCGCTACGTCCCGGGCTTGCACTTCCCTTTACCGGACGATGACACGTTTCAGCGCTTCCATGTCGATACGCTGGTCGACGGCGAGCTGGTCAATGATACCTACGAGGATGGCACGCAGCAGCTCAAATACCTTGTGTTTGATTGCTTGGTGCTCGATGGGCAGAGTTTGATGCATCGGACGCTGGATAAACGGCTCGCGTACTTCAAGGAGAAGGTGCTCAAGCCGTATAATGCGCTGTATGATCGGTTTCCCGAGGAGAAGCAGCATCGGATCTTTGCCGTGGAGGATAAATCGACGCAGTTTAGTTACGGCATTGAGATGATGTTTCGGGATATTATCCCTAAGGTGAAGAAGATTCATGGCAATGATGGCTTGATTTTTACTTGTCGGAGTACTCCCTATCGCATCGGTACGGATGAACATATTCTCAAGTGGAAGCCGCCTAGTGAGAATACTATCGATTTTCGAATGCGCTTGGAGTTTCCCCTGCTGGAACCGGATTCGGATGATGAGGCCGAGGGTGTTACGGAGCCGTATTACGATTATGATGCCTTGCCTATCTTTCATCTGTTTGTTATGCTCAATTCGAATGAGTACCGCCCCTTCGGGGAGATGTATGTCTCGCCGGAGGAGTGGGAGAACATGAAGGCATTGCAGCAGCCGTTAGATGATGCGATTGTGGAGTGCGCTCAGGATGAGCAGGGACGCTGGCGGTTCCATCGCATTCGGGATGATAAGGCGGATGCGAATCATATCTCGACGGTGGAGAAGGTGCTAGAGAGTATTCAGGATCGGGTGACGGAGGAGGATCTGATTCGGGTGGCTCCTGCGATCAAGACGGCGTGGAAGAAGCGACAGGCGCAGATGTCGGAGCGGGGAAGACCCGGTAGTACGGCGCAGGTTAATGGGAGTAATGGGGTGAAGCGGAAGTTTGAGGACTAGGGGGTATGATGATGCTACCAAGGGGTGATGCTTTGACTGATTCGGTTTGCGAGGCGTTTGGCGTTGGTTGGTTGGTGATGGGGATGTCTCATCTCATCTGCTGGGGGGAGTGATGATTGTAACTGTGTATAGATAATGCGAGATGGGCAAGAGAGGATTATGGCTAAAACGGGCTGGGCGGGTTTTGTATAATGCAATGCAATTTTTACTTTAGATGATTTGCTTGACTAACGAACAGTAGTTACTATCTGTAGAGCTAAGCTAAAGCTACAACTAATACCCTCCATCCACTATCATCATAAATTCTGAACTATCAGACGAAAGAGATCTTAAACTCTACCACATAAATACTAGTAGTATACTACTTACGGAGTAGATACTTAAGGGGTATCTGAAGAATTCCACCAAGTCACTGCACCAAGCCACTGCAACCTGGCGCAGCTGACTGACATCCACCACATAACTTCCACCTAAGTACACCAGTATGTATGTATGTATGGAATATACTAGTAAGAACTATACATAGCTGCTGCTGCCCATTTCCCCCCAAACAATCCACCGAGCTACTCCTACGGAGCAACTTACTTACCCCATACTTACTACGTATCCCGCCAAAACAACGAAACGCACAGAGCCTCGCAAGCCCGGATTGGAATGTGGAGAAAAACATGCAGTACATGTAGCCGATCATGCAATTCCCATGAACTAGATTGTACTTGATTATTTTTAGTGTGGACATAGTAGGGGTGGGAAATGGTTCATCCATTCATCCATGTATCCATTTATTCATTCATTTATTCGTTCGTTCGTTCGTTCGTTCTCCATTCGGAGTTACTTGACCAGTGGGTTGGGTCGAGCCTATTCGTGAATACGTAGTAAGTATACATGTAGCATGATGCATAAAGATTCTAGGTATCTGTATCTCGTATATTTTTACTGACTTACTTACTTTCTTGGGAATTGTTTGTGTTACACAAAGAGAGTTCAGGGTACGAGGGATGAAGGGACGGATGGGGTAAATTGTGGAGAGTTGCCATGTCCTGTGAGTAGTTGGGTTGATAGTTACTATGTTATTGAGTAGGAGGGTAAGTTATTTAGTGATTACGTTGCAATGGCTGGCTGACTGGCTGGTTGGAAATGAATCCAGGGGGAGGTGTGGGTGAAGCTGCTGTGGGAGTAGTAGTAAAACAAAGCAGGGGCTGGCTGCTTGCTGGCTAGCAGTACGTAGCAGGGCTTTTACTGAAAAGAGTTGGACGGAGTTGTGGAGTGTGTATGTGTGTGTGTGTGTGTTCATTTTTGCCACGGAGTAAGATGGCAATGATGGCAGCAATCCTGTGGGATGGATGAATGGATCGAAGGATTGGTGGGTTAATCTAAAGAGGTAAAAAGTAGTAGTGGTACGTCGTACTTTCTGTCAGGACTTGTTTAGTGCTGTTAGTTGGTGTTTCTAGAAGGTGAGGTGTCCAGGGAATTTGGGGGGGTGGGGAGAGGAGAGGAGAGATCACATCATGGATCATGAAGGATTGCGTGGTCTGATCAATTCATTTACTTCATAAATACTACTGTACAGTAATCGCCACTGTAGCAGTACTACTGGATTATGCAATGGGAATCGAAATGGATATTCTGCATGGAGTATTCCCGGGCTTCTAGTCTATTTAGTATTTAGTATTACTCGCTGCCTTTCCCGGAACTCAGGCTGAATTGTCCCGAAGTCGATCACTAGCAAAAGGTATGGGGAAGGAACAGTATCTAGTAAAATATGGAGAAACGAGTAAGTAGAAACATTTCTTCAAAACCAACTGGAAAGTAACTCCAGCCATTGACCTACTAGTTAGTTCCTTTTTGACCCTTGTTTTCTCCACATCTGCACACGTAACAGTAAACTAGTCTAGTCTGCATCTCTGCTTTTTTTCCCCCAAAGTCCACCCCCAACTCCGCTTCCCCATCCTTTTTTTTTTCTAGTCTTGTCTTGTTTTGTCTTGTTCTGTTCTTTCTCCGGGCTGATCTCTTTTCCCCAGCCAAAGTCATTTCCCCCATTGATTTCAATCCCCGGGACAGTTTCCGTCTTTCCGTCCTTCCGTCCAAGCATGCCCCATGCCCACTCAGTCCTACCATACCATTCCGCCTTGCCCAGACGTAGCAAAACAAACTGGGGTAGTACTTAGTAGTTATGTGGTGGGTTCTGGCCTGGACCCGACTTTCTGGGTCCATCTGCCGCCGCCTGGCTCCGGGGATTGTTGTTCAAGGGTGAGGCGGTTGTTCCTTTTTTTTTTTTTTTTCTTTTTGGTTTCGGTTTCGCCTCGCAACGGGAAGGGATGGATGGATGTATCCTTCCATCCAATCCTTAGGTTCCTTTCTCGTTCTCCTTTATTCGGTAGTACGTAGCAGCTATTTATTGCTTACTTAGTACGGTTGTAGGTAGGTGTACCTGAGTCGTGGTGGTAGTACTAAAGAAAAAAAGGTATTTTAGGCGTGGTATTTCTTCTTGCTCTGTCTACTTTTCTCTTCCCATTCTTTTTCTTCAAACGTCCTTCTCTCTGAGTACTACTCGGTTCTTAGTACTTGTTAGTTATTTGGTTCCCATACATCTTCGCTTTGTTCCATACATACAAAGTGAGGCACTTTACCATCCACCATCCATCATCCACCACTATAGTCAGCACCAACAACCAAACTATAGAATATACAGACAATAGTAAAGAAAGAGAAGAGGTAAGCCAATTATTCCCTCTTTCTTTTTTCTTATTTTTGCCCTTGCCCAACACACCATCATTACCACTCAATCAAACACGGACATAATCCTCGGCTAAGAGGAGGAGGATTGAGATTGAGGACCCTCATGAGAGAATAAACTGGATCCATTCATCCACCCACCCATCCATCCAGTCATCTACTACTTTTTTTGATTTACCTCGGCGGTTTTCGGAGCAAAGCATGATATCTTTACTCCGGAGGATCTATATCGGCATATATTCCATCCATTCATCACATATGATATTTTCTTTTCCTCTTTGCTTCTTCCCACTCGCTTATATATATATGTTCTACATATGCACATGCAGGACACAGATCATTGACATGATTCTTCTATAGGAACATAACATACTACCCTACCATCACTAGTACTTATAAACTCTGTTCCTGATCACCATATACTTACTACTCACTACCTCCATTCTACACAACCAACAACTTCACAACTATTTATCTTCCTTGAAGTTCCATCCTCTACATCAAAGAAAGTGGTCACAAACAAAATGTCTCCCTCCCGCTGTCCAACACCACCTTCCACATCCACCTCAACATCAACATCAACAACTACTTCTAGGAGACCTCATCTCTCCCTCCCTCTCTCCCAAGATACCATCTCCCGCGCCATCCTCTCCGCCACAACACACATCCCCAAGGCGATTCATACCATCGATACTACTACCACTCCTACACCTCCCACCTCTCCATCATATCAGACAGAAGGGAAACTACCCTTGGAGTGGGAATTCCCCCTGCCGCCACCGCCGCCTCCGTCACCTGTGGAGATGAGGAGGTTTTGGGCTTGAAGCTTTCCTTTCCCCTTATTCTTCTTCTTCTTCCATGATACTACTACTATAGTATGAGGGATGAAGCTAGATTAGGGGGCTTAGTGGATGGATATGTTGAGGTTGATTGATTAAACCTCTACTACTACTTTCATTGACATTTGATTTGATATTCATGGAATGGGGTTTTAGCGTTGGTTGATTTGTTGGTATTGGTTTGGATAATTGCATCGTCTCATGGATGGATGGTCTGATGGATGGGAATTGGCGTGTTTGGTGATAGTGTGATTGATTACTTGTTTTTTTTTTTCTTTGGTTTGTTTTATTTCAAGTGTTCGGGTTTGATTTTAGCTGTCTATTTGTTACTATCTGAATTTACTGGGAATAGATGTGTATACTATTATCATTACTGTTACTCGTTCTATTGAGAGAGTCTTTACGGTAGTAGTTCGGTATCTCGTTCAATCATGATCACATTCATCCTTCATAGTACAGTGTATATAGTACAGTATAGTATACCCACATACTGCATCAAATCGACGCTATCACATGCAGGGATTTCTCATAATAAAATCAAGATTCAGCATCATATCAAGGATGTACCTTGCAGTAAGGAAAAGAATCCGCTGACGCCATCACGCCGCAAACCGGTTCGTACGACGCGCATCAACTGCCCTATTCAGTTCGGTGGAAACTTTGCCGCGGATGATGATGATCCTGACTTAATTCCCCCATCAGTGTCGGGGCAAGCAAGCTTCTCCCGGCCCGAGTCTAAGGTCTTGTTCTGCGGTGGGACGAACGCATGTGTCGTTGAGCCTGACCTCGGTCGATCTCGGTCGGAGCATCGGATGTTCCAAGCTAAGGCACGTGACATGTCTGCTTCATGAACTATCCTATCCGATCCGAAGGTCTGGATCATCGTAGATCAATCATATTCAGAAGTACTATGATTGATCTATTCTTCAGTCAGTGTTCAGTGTGGTTTCGTATCGCGGAAGTATATTTCCACTGATAGGAAACTTTCACTCTCACGTAGCTAAGCTTAGCTTAACCCACTCAAGAGGAATAGCCAAACCAAGCCTATGGGATTAAGATTGAGATACGAAGTAGAGGGTTCTTATTGTCCCAGCTCATCATCATTCTCATCCATCTCTTCTTCTTCATCTTGTCCGCCCAACCGCGAATAAAGTCCCTCCAGCTCCGCCATGGCGTTCGCATCCCCGGATAATGCCAGCTCGTTTAACCGTTGAATCTGTGCCAGCTGTTCATCGGTACGAGCCCAACCACGTAGCCGATCCTCCAGATTCGTCATACGTTTTGTGCTGAATGTTGTCCGCACGGCGTCGGTCTCGCCTTTGCTGCGTTTAAGGCTGGCAAGGCGGTCTAAAAATCGTGCTTGATTGGTTTGCGGGGCGCTTTTGCGGATCACACCACCGCCCTGGGTGGTGGTGCTGTCGCTGGGTTGTTCTGCGGCGGCGGCAGAATCCGTGGCGTAGACGTTAGAGGATGAGCTGGATATGAGATTCGCTTTGCGACCGAGGATTTTCACGCTGTTGGCTGCGAGGAGGTCGTAGTTTGGGGTGTGGCGGAGCGGGATAACCGGACTACTACTACTAGTGAAGGAGGAGGGGTCTGCATCGTGTGGTGGTGAGGAGGATGAGTCCTCAGGACGCGCGATGAGTAGCTCGGTGCCGATTTGGTCGGCCCAGGTGCCGCTGAAAATTTGGTTCTGGTAGGAGATGATGGGGTTGGGGGTGTGGAGGCCTAGGATTTGAACACGGTCGGCGATGGAGGGGTTGTTGGAGTCCGCTTCGGTGCTGGAGACAGCAGCGTCGGGTTGGTCATCGTGATGATTCTGATTCTGATTCTGGGAAGGTGTGGATGGACTGGAGGTGGGGAGGGAGGAGGGATCTTGTGGTTGTCGGCGACGAGGGGGGCGGATGGGACCGTGGAGGGAGGTGAGGTCGAGAGTCAGATAGACAGTCTAGTGATGGTGAGATGGGGACTTGTCAGCATCACAACCAAGGCAGCGTGGTAGCTAGACTGCCAAGGTGAGGACGAACTTCTGTTTCGGTGGGATGATATTCGTATTCATATTCGGAATCATCATCGTCTTCGGGGTGGACCAGACTGGAATCAGCCAGCATAGCTGGATCCAGCATTAGGGGAGTGGGGAGGGCCATGGATGCAGCTGGCGACACAACCGTGAGCAAGCAGCTCAAGTGATATGATGATGGTAGAATTATCAAGTTGGGAGGAATGATTGGATTGATTGGCAGGGCGGCAACTAATTCGCGGCGGCGCCCGACGATCCAGACTTGGCGGTGAATCACTCCACTGCAAGCTGTTGCAGCCAGTCATCATCCTTGTTTCTTCTCATAACTTCTCGTGATTGATTGATGATTAGTAGCTAGCCAGCTACCTTAGTATGATAGAATGCAGCAGAAGAGGCAGTAGAGGCAGAAGAAGACCCTGCTGACTATCGTGTTTGTCATCTCATCAGGCATCCATGAGAGGCTGAGCTGACGGACTGAACCCTTAGACTTTACGACCCTGAGGATCCATCAATTCCCGTAATCCAATTCATCCCAGTTCCAGTCCCTTCTTTCTTTCTCTCTTCTCCATCAGCTCCAGTTTTCACCTCCAGCTCCAGTTTGACTGACGGGGTTTTTTCTCCTCTTGTCTTAGCCAGAGTGCTCTGCTGCATCCACCGCAGCTGTGAGTCCCTGCTGGATGATCGACCGGATGACTTCATCCCCTCCTTCTTGCATCATCATCACCAATTCTCCTTGTCATTCCAATCCGGTTGCAGTTGTGAACTCGGTCATTCCATCTAGATAGTACACAGTACACACAAGGCACAGTAAAAAAAAAAAAAAAACCACTAATTCAGTTTTTTTCATCATTACTCAATATTCCGACCTGAATTGATCCATCCATGATCAGTGAGTCCACCTGATTCATTCACTCAGTCAATGGCCCCTCTTTCCTTCCGTGTCTTCCGTACTTCTTTCCCCTCTCACTCTCATGCCCACTCACTCTCTCACCGTATCGCTGTTCTCCCTTTCTTCCTCTCTTTTTTTACTATGACGATCCGGCAACCGGCGGAAGCCAAACCCAAGCTGCATCCGTCGTCTTCCCATTCGAACTTGTGCCTCATCATCCATTATCTAATCCGCTTCCGTGCGAGCCGATCTATTGCTGCTGCTCCCAGCAAATTCCTGTGCTGGACTCGGCCACTCCAATGCCCGAATTTCCCTGTTCTTCCCTTCCGCCCCCTCCCCCCTTCAGCCCTAAGCATCCACTATCACATCCCGCGGCCTTTGTGGTTTGTCTGCCCTACCAATCGACCCATCATGACCAATTACTCATGGCCCTCATGGCCAATCACTACCCAATTCTGTCCCCTTCTGTACCATCATTTTGACCTTCCGAGACCCGTTCCTGCTGTTCTCGACCCTTCTCGGCTGACTGACAATGTCATCGCGCCTGCCCGCTGCTGCTTCTTATAGTGTCTCCTCCGCTTCCTTTACTTCCGGGCTCAAATGCCCGGCTCGGTCGCTTTTCTCCCTCCCTGTTGCTGCTGTCGCTGCTTCTATTGTCGCAGTCGCACTGTCATCCCTCCCCCCTCGGCTCGGATGCCTCTCGTCCTCTTGCAATTTCCCCCGAGGATTCCTCCGTGACCGATCTGGCCGACAGCCTGGTCGCTGCAGCTCCTCCCACCTCTGCTGTCCCGATTGGGAATCTGGTCACACTACCCCCGTCCACCACTTCTACTCCCGGTGATCAGTCCGGGTTAGTGGTGCTCCCCTCGTCGCGTTCCATTTCTTCCGATCTTGAAGCTTCCCCCAGCATCGTGCAGCAGATGATTCGCTCCACCAGGGTTGCCATTGTCACCCTCGCCTCATTGATCGCCTATGTCTTGATTAACAGCGCCGCGCGCGCCGTAAATCCGTCGGCTTTCATCTGGTATGCTGAGGATCATGACGAGCAGAGCTGGATTGCCTCCTCGCCGTCCTGGCTGGATCGCAAGGCCTGTCGGTGGCTCGGCATGTGCGGGACCGCCCACTTCCGCCTAGTGCGGGCCCGCTACGGCCAGCGCGAGCCCACTCTGGGACCCTGGTCGCCTGATGACGAGGCCCACTACGCCGCCTGGCGCGATGCGCAATTCAACGACTCCCAGCAGCCCGCATGGGATGAAGCCGAACGCTCGCGTCGGCAGATTCCCGAGTATGTCTTCCAATATGCGCCGTTGGTTTACTTGTCCTCGCATGAACAGTTTTGGCCGGGCGACATTGCCGAACATCTTTACCACGTCACCCCGATGCTGAACTACACCCCCATTCAGTCGGACGAGGAGCATCCGACCCTGCAGGACCTCGATCAGCTGAACGAGTGGCAAGAAGGTGAGTTCGTGTACTTGACTAGCAACGACAATGTAGAAGATCGCCCGCCATGGATCGAGGGCGAGAAGAATATTCCCGAAGATCCCGATGACGATCTTGAGCTGTCTTGGCCTGACTGGGACGGCCGGATAGACGGGCCTATTCCTGGGGACACGCCAGAGGAACGCTCCCAGTGGTATGACACAGGCCGTCTCTCATCATCGAAGGGAGAGGATGACAGTTGGTCTCCGGAAGATCTGGGGTATCTCCGCCCGGAAGACCTCGCTGACGAGGACGTCCGAACCGAGTTGCGCAAACGGTTCGGCGGCGAGCCTATTCACGTCGAAAAGACTGGCGGGCGCAGTAACGCGCCGGCAATTCTGCTGGTGATGGACAAAGGCCACGGCGTCGTAGATGCGTTCTGGTTTTATTTCTACAGCTTCAATCTGGGCAACGTAGTGCTGAACGTGCGGTTCGGGAACCACGTGGGTGACTGGGAGCACTGTCTGGTGCGATTTCACGACGGCAAGCCCAAGGCGCTTTTCTTCAGCGCGCACTCGGCGGGAGAAGCGTACAGTTACGAAGCCGTTGAAAAGATCGGCCAGCGGGTAAGTAGAGATATCAATTGCTCCCCTCCCGCACGTCCAGGGGATTCCCGACGCTAACCATGGATCCCTGTCAAGCCCGTGATTTACTCCGCCATGGGCACCCATGCCATGTATGCCACCCCAGGCATCCATGCCTACATCCTGCCCTGGGGCTTGTTGCACGACCAAACCGACCGCGGGCCCCTGTGGGACCCTCTTCTGAATGCCCACGCCTATACGTACGATTATGATAGTGATAATCTTCGTGCATCCACTGCCACGCCAAGTGCCCCTATCGAGTGGTTCTACTTCAACGGCCATTGGGGCGACAAGTTCTATCCGCTAGGCGACCAGCGACAGTATCGATTCGCCGGTCAGTATCATTATGTCAACGGCCCAGTGGGACCGCGGTTCAAGCACCTCAACCGCCACAAGGTCTGTCAGCAGCGGGACGAGGAAGTCTGCGTCATCAAGAACTATATCGGAGAAGAAAAGCGGGCTAAACGCTGGGCGGGTACTCGGCCTGCACATGAGAAAGAACATGACTAGACGGGATCTCCCCTTGCCGTTTGGCAGACCCCAGCCGTGGCACAATCATGAGGTATTATTCTCATGTCAGTTGCTGGCATTCTAGCACTCCCTGCTGGTTGGAACCTATTCCTACTATATCCCTACCTTTTTCCAGGTTGCCCCTCGTATTGATAACCTATTATTTGCGCGCATTTGTTTATTCCGGTGTTATCTCATGTGGATATACCCTGGCGTTTTCCTTTATTTTTACATCTCCTTGGTCGACTGCATAGACCACTGGCGCATGTTGGGGCTAGTTTCCCCCTCAAACCCACGATGGACGAGTTAAACGACCCTACCTTATATCCTTACGCTACTATACATCTCATGACAGTTTTGGACACGGACCAGGAGCCGTTTGATGGCGTTCTGGTAGTTTGCATTTAATTCGGATGATTTACGGTCAGATACGAGGTGTCTAGCGATACGAATAGATGATTGGTTATAACCTCCGCTCCACATGGTTTAGTACTTCCACAATGAATGAGTATCTCTACTCTTGAATGACTATCTATATACACTCTATCTCTAGTCTATATGCGCGTTGTCTCTAGAAACCTTCTCTCCTGGAGACAATCCCCTCAAGACATAAGTATCCAACTATTGAGGCACACTCTCCGAAACCTCCCTCCAAAAGTCACACCTAGCCCCTCTCCCTCCCTCCCAAGCAGACGAATTAACCAACCGGAAATGATTCACAACGCCATCCCCCTCCCGAATCCAATACGACAAATTCGACGTCACCAAATCATGAACCAAATATCCCCCCGTGGTATTCAAATCCATCATAACCGGGAACTCGGGCGAATAACTCGGCCAATCAAGCATCCTCGTCCCATTTTTACCATAACCCTTCTTACGACCACCACCCACAACAGGAACCGATGCATTCGCCTTCCCAGCCGTGGCATCTTCCATCGAAATCACCGGACTATCAGCCATAATAAACTGGCCCCACATCTTCTGGAAGGCGGTTCTGAATCCCTTATCGGGCCAGGTAGCGTCCGCGCTGAAGTACGCGGAGAGATCGGCGCCGTGGTACGCGGGTGTTACGGAGTATTGATATTTCCAGGCTTGACGAGGGGGTCTGGGATCGGAGCAGGAAAGGGTGTCGTCTTCTTGGCTGAAGGCGTCGGCGAGCCATTGCGCGGGACAGGCAAAGGTGGTTTCGGCGAAGATGTTGAATACCGTTTGTTGCAGGCCGGTTGCCATCTCGGATTGGTTGATGGCTGTTGGGCCGCTGGTGCCGAGGGTGTCGTAGCGGGGGCTGTTGTCGGTAGTTTGGCTGGTGGAGGTTTGGTAGACTTCGTTGAGGAGGGCGATGTCGGAGGAGGTGAAGAGGGGGAAGGTGGATGAGATGTAGGAGTTGAAGGCTGGGCGGCTGACGACGTTGGGGTTGCTTAGGGGGACGCCGTCGTTGGCGTTGTTCTGTGGTTGATTGTTAGTGAGTGTTGAGGGACTGAGGAGGATGGAGGGTGCATACGCCGATGAGAATGCGTTTGCCGCTCACTTTGCCTTGAGCGAGCTGCACAGAGGGCCGTTCTTGGATCAGCTCGCCGTCGATGACTGGGAGGAAAGCCCAGGTGCCGAATAGTCCGGACGTGGAGACAGTGGCGCTGGCATTCTGCAGGAGGGTGCTGGGAGCTGCTACTAGGCAGTCAAAGGTCGTTGCGTAGTTCTTGATTGCTGTGGAGTTCAATCCGCAGCCGGCCAGTTCAGCAAAGTTTTTATAGTACTGCTCTGGCACTTTATCGTGGTAGTTGAAGATTGGGGGTGAGTAGGCGCTCGCGGCGATGATCTATGCAATGACTGTCAGTCAATTTCGAGGTGGAAAATGGGAGAGACGGACGTTGTTGAAGAGGTTGAACTCCTGGCCCCCGTATGCGAGCGCATGCAGCATGACTGCCCCGGCGCCTGAAGACTCCCCGCCAATGGTCACACGCTCAGGATCACCGCCGAATTTGTCAATGTGCTCCTGTACCCATTCGATGGCAAAGCGTTGGTCTAGAAGACCGGCGTTTGTTACGCCATGTTCCTTGACTTCGTCGGAGGAGAGGAAACCAAAGGCTCCCAGACGGTACTGGATTTCCACGGTGATGAACCCGTTGTTGTTGGTGTTCATCATTGGGCTGGGGTCATAGGTCGCACCAAAGAGCCCATAGCCACCACCGTCTGTCGATCGATCGTTGAAGTTAGCTAAGATACATGGTGCTACATAGGTGTTTGAAGACTTACGGATCCATAACAGAACGGGCAGGTCCGTTGCGTTCGGAGGAGCATAGACATTCAGGTATAGACAGTCTTCATCGCCAGGCCCCGAGTTGAAGCCGTAGATGTATGGTGTCTTAGCCGCCCCGGATTGAGGACAGACAGGAGGCTGGTCCACTGCTAATGTGATCTGGCTGTTGTTCTGCAATGGAGGTGCAGGCGCCTGCCAACGCCGTTTACCCACCGGAGGAGCTGCATACCGGATACTGGATGATAGATCAGGTCATGTCCACAGCATATAATATCTTTCTCTTGGTCAATGGGGCGTGTTTCAGACATCATACCTCTTCCACACATTCAAGTCATAAGTGGAACTATAAGAACCCTGATAGGTCGCGTATCCCAGATCAACGATTGGGGGCTGGCTGGCGCGGGAGAGCGCCGCGCTGGCCGCGAGCAGCAAGCAGTATCCGGGCTTCATCTTCACCAGAAACCGTCAGATGAAAGAGTCGTTTCACCGAATCGGGCTCCCTGCAGAACAACAGTTAATTTTGAAAAAGAGGCAGGGATGGGTAGTCCTACTAACGGCAATTAAGCGGCAGGGCGTCCGAGCCCAGATCCAGCTCAGGGGCAAGCTTTTTAGCGCATGTTGCAGAGCAGTGAGGTACTGGGTCAGCACTTGATACTAGTTGGGATAGTATGGAGCGGTGGGATGCAGGCGAGCAGCAGAGCGGATTCCTAGTGGATCGCAATCAATTTGGGCGGCCGCCATTCGATCACGGGGTAGGCACGTGTGGGCGGTCCAATGCTTCGTTCTGCACCGGCCATCGATCTTAGTCCCCAACTACCTCGCCGGTTCTTCCTACTGGGCATCGTCTGCTAGCTAGCTGGCTAGTTAGTTATCTCACTGCCTGAAGGATGAGTCGCTCAATCTCCGATACTTAGCGTGGGGCCAAAACCGCAATTAGAGCGCCTCGTCTATCCTTCGTGCTCCCTTGGCTGCAGCCATCTCGCACAAACTGGGCTGACAGCCGACGGAATGACCTGGTCAGGCTGTCAGCATGAAGAATTGAAGACACAGAGGACGAGGGGTCTGCCAGACCCACCGTAAGCAGGCCAGCACCTCCTACAAAACACAATGGGAAGCACCTGCAGAATTCTGCTGCTGATGCGGCTGCTGCTGCAATACAGCCCGATGGTTAGATGCTGTAGCCATCCAAAATGAGCTCTGCAGGAGCGAACTATTCAGCGGCATACCTGGCACAGTCGCGTGTGACCGAGGTGGCTGTGGCATACTCGGTCCCTATCCCCGTTGAGATCCTGACTACAGTATGGCGACTCTGGATCAAACTGCGGCCATCCTCGGAGCATGGCTTGACCTTTGACGACTACGTGATGATCTGGGCTACGGTGAGCGATCTAACAGTTGATTGTATTTAAGGGCACATCCTGACTCGAATGTCTCCATATAGATCATTGGTGTTGGCGTCTGCGTCAGTGGATTGGTTTACGGTGCGCTTAACCGGCCCGTTCCGTGGACATCTCTGGATCGTGTATTAACCACTATCCACCTCGACAGGTCCTCCCTATGGTTTTGGACGACATGTCGCCGCCTTGCCAGACAAGGAAGTCGAAACATTTATGATGGTACGAAGGAGTTAACCAAGTCAACTCGACATCCACCTTCCTTCATATGACTGACGGATTCGGACCCGATGGTAGGGCGACTACATCTTCAGTCACTTCTACGATGTTGCCATCGCCAGCACAAAGCTCTCCGTGCTGGCATTATATTATCGCATTTTCGTCACACCGAGATTCCGACTGGTCGTTATCCTAACCGTGGTATGGGTGATCCTATGGCTCATGACCATGGAAATTGTCCTAGGGCTGGAGTGCCGGCCGATCGCAAAGTTCTGGAACTCGAGCGTTGAAGGGACATGCTTCAACCTCGTTGCCTTCAGCTACTTCACCAACATTGCGAACCTCGTCACCGACATCTGGATCTTCCTCCTCCCCCTACCCGTCATCCTACGCCTCCAGATCACAAAGAACAAGAAGATTGGCCTCAGCCTGCTCTTCTCCGTCGGCTTAGCGTACGTACTCAACCACTACCTTATAGTATCTAGCACCCCTAAATAGCTAACATACACCCAGAACCTGCGCCATCAGCGCAGCCCGACTAACCGTCGTCGTCACCCAAGGTTCCTCCGACTACACCTGTAAGCCAAACCATCCCCTCCCCCCGACCAACCTACTGACTTCAACACAGGGGCCGGCGTCCCCCTGGGCATCCTCTCTGCCTGGGAACCCCTCGGCGGCATCCTCTGCGCCAACCTCCCCGTAATTTACAAGTCACTGGCTGCCGGATTCCGCAGCATAAAGGGCACACTCCTCACTCACGGCTCACGAAGCGCCCACGCCTCCTCCACCCAGCGCCAAACAAAGTCCAGCGCCCATCACCATCACAATACCTGGCTCCAGCTGAATAATGGCAGCGGGGCCGGGAATAGTTATCGCTCTGAGATCTTGGCTTTGAAAAGCATGGACGATGACGATGATGATACGGAGATGCAGCCCGTGCCGGGGATGAATACGATTATGGTTGAGAGGCAGTTTGAGCAGGAAGTGGTTGATCGGCATCATGACCCTCACCATAGTCATCATGATGGGAGAGAGGGGGATGAAGAGCCCTTGAGAGGGAAATAGTGATGCATTTTATCTTTGAATATATGTATGCACTGATATAGTCTAATATGACTTCTTTCTTTATTTTCGGTCTTGTAGCCTAAATATATGTGGAGAGGCCATGTCTGTTACAACCGAGTTTACTCTAACCCTAGTACTACTAGTGAGCCCCTTTATTCTTCTGTCTACGTGTATATCTATCACGAAAGGGGAGATGATAGCACGATTGAAGTTAGGGCTATAACATAAACTACCACCCAGTACGAATCCAAAAGAAATTGATAGATATAAGTACTATTCAGCGAAATTACAACAAAGAGGCAGCTAGTACGATAGACATACACAAGATCCAGAGATTAGGAAATAGATCAGGCACCGCAGCAGCTAGCTAGTACCTGGAGAGAAAAAAAAAACCAAGCAGGAATAGCCAAAACGGAAATATGAAAGAAAGAAATACGGGGCAGAGGCAGAAGTAAACGCTGAAGCAGAGCTAGGTATACTGGTATAATAATGGAAGAATACTGCAAACGGATGATGAAAAGGAACGATGAGAAGAGGTAGAATGATGTGACTTGACCCCGGGGTCGGGAGCCAGTGTTAGAAATGAAATTGATATCGAATGAAAATCAGAAAAGGATAAGGAAATGGGAATCCCAGGAAAGGAACGAACAGACCGATCTGGTCGAAAACTCCCCAACCGCCACATAGATAACGCCAGGTACAGAAAGGGAAATAAGAAAATAGACACATCCCAATACGTAGAAACAAAAGCCGGCCGAATAACGAGACGCCAAAAGGGAATCACAATAATCAAGGGCCAAAGCATATCGATGGACCAAGCCAAACCGATCATCTCCAGCAGACTCCCATCCCTACCAAACTCCACATCCCAGGAAACACTGCCAATCGATCGAATCCGATCGTCTCAAACCTAATTTCTCCGGTTGCCCGATCTAGGTGGTCTAAAATGGTGAAAAAAAAATGAAACTTATCCGCTGCTGCCTTCTCGCCCTCACACTCGCGTAGATCTCTTGCGTAGCCCAAACTCGGCTTCTTGCAGTTCACGGATCAAGCGGAGGCTTTCAGCATCTGGCTCCTCGTCCGCGACCCGCTTAGAGTTCTTGCCCGGCTGCCCGGGTGATGTTGACGTCGCAGCATGCCGGTCACCTTTCTTCTCGTCTGTCGCCCAGAAACTCTTCTTCGCATGCGAGGATGAGGAGGGGCGTGATGCCGACTTTTTGGATCCTGAAGAAGGACCTGGAGTGGATTTTCGCACACCACCGCTTGACCCACCAAACGAAGAACGACGAGCTGTGGGAGTATGGGTCGTCCCCTTGGTCGGCTTGGAAACATGTGTCTCGGGCATGTAGCGGTCGACTTGGCGCGGCTGGCGCGAGGAGTGCCGGGAACTTGAGGTTGGTGTGTGCAGGACTACCACATGATCCCCTTCTCCATCTGCCTGCTCCTGAGGAACGTCGGTCTCGTCGGCCAGTGAGGTCGGTGGTGATACAAGGGTGGCAGTAGGCTTAGAAACGGGCGCAGAATTTATTTCCTTAGCATCGACCGTGTCAGTCTGGAACGTAGGCGGTGATGCGTAGGAGGTTGGCCCCAATGGTGCTTCCTTTTCCCCAACAGTCATACCGGACTGCCGATTTGCGTCTTTATCAACCAGCGGCGCATCCGAGAACGGCGCATGGAGATCCAGGGCTGCATGATCATGATCGGGCATGTGGGTATCTTGCATCCCCAGCGCACCAACTTCACGGCTGTTGCTGAGATGTGCCGGTCTCGACGTAGGGGACGTGCTCTCCTGCTTCATCCGTTTGTGAATCATTGGCCCAGTTCCTTCTTCATTGATACGGGGCCGTTTGGCAGAAGCAGCAGCGCGCGGCTTTGCTCGTTCTTGCGCCTTGACAGGGTCAATACGGCCGTACTCATCGTGGATACACCGACGCTGTTTTCAGTTAGTAATAAAACTGAGTAAGATAGAATTTCAAGAACAACACGAACCTTGCTCTTCCGGCAATCGTCGCAGGCCTTGCTGCGGCCCTTCTTTCCGGTGTTGGCGCCTTCAGGACTGACATCGTTGAGTCCGAGTCCATTGACCGGTGCACGCGGCGTACCCAGAATGGCCGAGTTGAACTTGGCAGCGACTTCAAACCGGTCCGGATTCCTGCCACTTCCATTGTCTTGAAAGCCTGCTTCCGATGCAATAGCGGCAAGTGAATTCAGCGCAGACGCTGCGTCGTGTGCCAACGAATGGTTGCTGGGACCAAAAGCGGTCACTGCCGTTGACTTGCTGGAGATACCGTCGTTATGTTCATCCTTGTGGTGACATCGGATCCTTCGTTTGCGACAGGCATCGCAGGCAACGCGCTTAGGGCCCAGTCCGGAGCCACGGGGTGCAGCGCGCGATTTGGGAGCAGGCTCTTCTTTGATACCACTGCTTGACGGGCCGTCTGGCATAGCAGCCCCGGCATTCAGCGGACCACTACTATTGCTCAGTTCGGTTGCTGGATCATGAGCCGGCTCGGGAAGCCTCTGTACAGCCTGGCGTTCGGCGTACGTGCGCTGGCTCTCAGCATTACGCTCTGACCGACGGCTGGGCCTTCCGGCAGGCTTCTTCTCCGCGAGACTGAGCTTCGCATTGCTTTCAGCCACGCCAGGGCGGGTCCAATACGGTGCCCTCTCATTGCCACGCTTCCAGGCGACCCAGATGCCAAATTTCCTCACGGCATCGATTGGCTCCCCGGACATCTTGGGTATCGAGCGTTTGACCGCATTTCTAGTATCCATCGTCACGCCCTCCGTCAGATAGGCGCCAGCAATGAGGGCAGTGTGATAAAGGTATTTTGCAAGATCTGGTAGCCCTTCCAGTTCCGCCTGAGAATAGAAGCGCGAGTTGTGATAAGGTGAGCCGGCAGGCGCATTGTTCGTCCGTTCGCCGAATTCGTAGTAAATTGGATACGCACGGTGGAAGCGGTAGTTCTCGTCCTGTGCGAAGGCGTCAAGAACGCTTTGCGGTAGCGGGTCATCTTCGAGATATCGCAACGCGGTATACCATTGGATCTTCTGGAAGAACGGGTACCTGAACTTCCTTGGCACCTTGGTATCCTTCTCAATCTGCGCGATCTTGATCTGCATCCCGTAATTCAGCCTCGTAAGGAAATTTCCGCCGATGACAAGACTGTTCTCCGGAGTCCAGACGGCATGGATCCAGCCCGAGGGGATCAGCATCGTATCGCCTTCAGACAGATCCACGCGATAGCATTCCTTGGTCTGGTCCCCAAGAAAGGTGGAATCCTGCGCAGGAGAATTGCACCACTCCTCATACTTCTTCAGGTGTTTGTCCTTCGGCGGGATGAAGAAGAAGGTTTTCTTGCCTTTCAGAATATGGTAGTATACTGAGGACCCTCCAAAGTCGATGTGGAAATCGGTATAGCAGTCGGCAACAGACATCAAGACGTAGAATTGAACTTTCGGGCAGTCACCGACGGCCTTCTGTTCTTCAGGCCAGACAGAGTCCTGAAGGTCAAGATCCCGGACAACCTTTGGCCGACGAATAAGCTTGCCCAATGGGCTCTGTGAGACTTCCAAACTGATGACATTTCGGACAACCTTGTCGCCGGTACTCTCGTAGTATTCCGCCCATTTCTGCATTGTCCACCTCTTGTCTTCGTTCTGTTGCGATTTGACATCAATGACCTCCACTCTTTCTTCCGGTCCGTAAAGCTCCGCAACTCTTCGAACGGTGAGGCCTTCAGGTATCACCATGTCCAACTGGTCCTGGCCGCAATCTATCACTTGCTCATAGCCTTCCTCTTGCTCAGCAACATGATCCAGCAATTCGTCAAACATCTCTTGCGTAGGCGCTTCTTGTACTAGAGCGTCAAACTCGGAATCACTAATAGAAACGGACTCGCGAGTGTTCCACTCCGCAGGAATGACAATCGGTTCCGTCATGCCATTGCCTCGCTCGAAATATTCGGCAGTGACCAGCTCAGGACGCATTCGTGGGAAGTTTTCGGGGAGGAATTGGATTTTGCCCTGTCGGATGGGTTCAATGTAGTGGTGTTCGAGAGAGTCCGTTGCGGCCTTGACCAGCCCTTGGTTGAGGCCGGCATAATCAATAGCTGTGCGAGCCCGAGAGGATTTGCGCACGAAAGTAGTCTGTCCATAAATAGGACGGCATTCTCGACAGATAAATTTGTCCACCGTTCGGAGTTCACGGTCACTCTTGAATCCAGCACAAACAATATGAAACCACCGTTTACAACCATCGCAGCTGATCCATGTCACGTCGCCTTGCTCGCCAGTGTCCATCGGAATCCGCACAAGGTTGCAAGCCGCGCAGCTAGCCTGGTTAGACTCCTCCGCTTCATCGTCAATCTTGGAGGAATGCTCTATCGGCATTTGCGCGGCGTGTGTGGTGTGCATTGAATGTTGTGCCTGTGTCTCGCTCGGTCTACCATTTATGGTGAACTTCGTGGGGGGATAGTCGTTTTCAGCGTCCCCTTCCTCCTGCCAGAGAATTGGTGGAAGAGTAGAGGAGCTTGTATTGGGTCGCACGCCATGAATGACCGGGCGTGATATGGCAGCTGAACCGTCGGACTGTGACCTCAGCCGAGACGGCATGTTGTTGGGCCCGGGTGCACTGTATGCATATTTTTCGTCGTTGAACCTCCAGCTCGCGCCGCCCGAATCCGCCGTGACATGATGCTTTTGTTCGTCCCCATAATGATAAAACGACTCGTCGATGCTGACACGCTTTGCGGAATGCGAGGGAGGATGAAAGTTCGTGGGCCGGGCCAGATTCAGCAAAAGCTCTGCATCCGTCTTCATGCTATCAAACAACGAAGCAGAATTTGCATCCGACACGGCCACTGTCCGGTGCTGGGTGTAAGGAGAGGGATCCTTTTCCGACCGCGGACGCTTATTTGGGCGTTCTGTGGATTCGATGGGCTCGGAGGGGAATAGCGACATGGCGGGTGTGGAGTTTTGAGAAGGAGGTCGGTAGGAAAGAGGTGCGAAGGTCGGGCTCGTCGCTAAGGCGATCGTTGCGAGAGCGTCGATGGTAGAACCGGAGCGGCCATGGCTAGAGCGATGAGAAGCTGTCTCATCAGCATGATGATGATGATGATGATGATGATGATGATGATTTGTAGGATTGTGAGGTAGGAAGTGGTCGCGATCGGAGGTAGCAACCCGGGAGACGTTGCGGTCGACCCATGATGCACGGAGGTCGGAGGTCGAGCAAGGCGAGATAGGCTCGACGGCGCGTCGCGGCGGCGAGGGAGTGCGATACCGCGGCGGTCGGCTCCCAAGGTGATTCAAGAAGGATGTAGCAGTGATCATCGTGTGATCTGAGGATGAAATCGGAGGGAAAGGAAAGAAAGAAAAGAGCCCGGAGGAGGAAACAGGCGTGCTTGCGGCAGACGGGTGCAAAGCGGGGATGTTCGACCACACGGGCTAAAGAGAGGCCACCGCAGGCAAAAAGAGAGTCATTCCTGGCAGACTGAAGAGCGCACAGTGAACAATGAGATGAAAGGTAAATCAGAAGGGAAACCGAGGAGATGGTGGGGTGGTGGAAGGAGAGGGTGACGGAGGAGAGTCGCACGGCGGAGAGGTTGAGGGGGGGAAGTTGAGAGAGTCTCTGCCGACTGGGAGTTCAATCGAGAGCGGCGGGAAGAGAGAGCCCCGAGTATGCACCGCGGCGGGTGCGGGCGAAAAAAGAAACGTCTTAGACGGGTCAATCAAGGTTCAAGAGAATATGATGAAGAATACAGGAGAACAAGCGATTGAAGAATGCGCCAGAAAATAACAGATTGGGAGGATGGGCTTTGCACCGGAACAGAGCAGGAGGAGGTGCGAGGCTTTGCTTGGACGGCCGGTCGAAGGAAGGCAAAGCGGGCGCGCCGCCAGTCTGCCTCAGGCCGACACTCCCTATCCTATCCTATCGTTTGCGGCGAGCAGCCCGGAGAGCAGCACTACTACTTGCAGTTCGAAGTATACCAAGGGGGTTTTTCCACCTTCATAGCCCAATTTTTCAGATAAAATATTAGGAGCGGAGTAACCCTATATCTCTAGATTATTCTCTTCAACTCCGACAGTTCCATCTACACCCCGACGTCGTCCGTCGGCCTCAATGCCTCGGACTTGTTGTCGTCTTGTCTCGAACCATCGAACCAACAAAGTGAGGCTCCTCCCAGCCACTAGTCCCAATCAGGAAAGGCAGGCTCCCTTCCGAACCTCGTGCTTGTCGCGGATATTGCTTCCCTCTCTCCTCCTCCTCTTCCTCTCTCTTCCCTCGCTATACACCTTTCATTCCAGGCCCTCTGGGTATCTGATTCATCTTCAACCTCCCCCGACCCCATTTTTAGGACCTATACTGTCCCACCCGAGAATGAGCCGGAAGCTCGCCCCCGAAGCCAATCGGTAAGTTCTGCTCGCCGAATCTTGCCCCTCTTCGGTCGCCCGCCATCATTCAATGCCGGGCATTTGTTCTGCATGCTGTTGGATGGCAAACATGCGTGCCGAACGAGTATTATATCTGACGCATCGATGCTGACTGGTTTCAGGATTCTCTTTGTAAAGAACCTCAAGTACGTCGATGATTTCCCACGGTTTACTTCTCGATTCGCAACCCAATCGTCGCATACCTATCGACCGACAGCCATCAGGCGAAAGGCGCCCCATCTTGTTCTAGAAAGCGAGAGCTAACCTGATTGTCTCCTTACAGCTACAACGTCACAGCTGAGCAACTCTTTGACCTCTTCGGCAAATTTGGTCCCATCCGGTAAATTTGCGCATGACTCACGTTCAGCCCATTTCTTGGTCATTCAAGGCTAATTGTTTCTGTTCTTAAAGCCAAATACGTCAGGGAATTGCCAACAACTCGAAGGGCACGGCCTTTGTGGTTTACGAAGACGTTCATGACGCCAAACAGGCATGCGATAAGCTCAATGGATTCAACTTCCAGAACAGATACCTCGTCGGTATGTCATCCCGTGCCAGGGGAAGATGAAGCAGAGAAATTATGCGGACAATTCGATTGGCTGACATTTGTTTTCTGTCCTAGTTCTATATCACCAGCCCGAGAAAATGCTTAGGTCGAAAGAGGACTTGGCGGAAAGGCAAGAGAATTTGGAGCGTCTCAAACAGCAACATGGGATAGAATGATGTGATGATTGCTTTTGCTCGCTTTCTCTGCATGCCCTTTGCCGGCATCTGGCTGCGTATTATCCTGGGTTGGTCGTGGGGTTTCTGGCGTTTTTCTCTCCTATGGGTTTGATGGCTCTTATTCATTCATGGGTATGAAAGGGTTGCCGGCGGGTTGAATGACACCCTGGCTTTTGTTCAGGAGAATGATACAGAATGGGTTATTTCAGACCAGGGTCGGTGCTAGCTGCACGGGCTCTAAGGTTACCAATATAATCATTTCGATCGCCGGCCACCTTTTGGCTGTTGCGGCACCCCCCTCTGAGATTACTGCTTACTACAGGAGTTTTGACTTGTCTTGCTACAAAGTATGTTCAAAATGACCCCTATCAATGGGGGGAACTGGCCCAGCGCACTGCAGAGACCACGTCAGTCGTAGAAGTGGGCAGGTATCTGACGATCGTCCAACGGCCGTCAATTTACATGGGGGTGGATCAAGCGGTTGAAGATCGTGCATCGACTAGTGAATTATCTACAGAAACCCCCTGGAGTGCCGACGTAAGGCTAGCCAACTAGTGCGGTAGTTTATGTCTCTGCTGAGCTTCGCTTTCATGGTATCCACTCCCGGCCTCGTTAGCCGCGAGATCCAAGCGCCAATTATATTGTCACAATAGCGCAGGTGCAGCATTGGGGTAACATGCTTGGAACGTCTGCACCTGACGACTCAAGCACCCGATAATCCTGGACAGTTGGCTTGCAGGCGCCAAGGGGCACCGATGCCAGACAATGCCAGACACGGTAGGCAGAGAGACAAACCCCTGGGATCTGTAGATAAGGAACAACACGCCCTCTATCACTAGATGCGTAGAGCAAAGTAGCGATCGGAAGCAGGTTAATTTTACGAAAGCATGAAATTCTATTTACCTACTGGGTACTGCACCGACCAGTATCTGGGGTATACTGATCCACCGAGGGTCGATCTTCGATGACAGCTGGAGCACAGGCGCTGGAGTAAGGAGGGCGATCAGCCTGGATTCGGCAGTCATTATTTATGCCTGATCCATGAGGCCTCAAAATTTGTAGATGCCTTGGTAATGAGGCACAAACATGTGGCCAATCCTAGAGCCGATAGGCATGACTCAGCCCCACCCACCGCGGTTCTAAAGATTTTCTTTTCGCTGCAGTCCAGATGCGCTTCTGCTTCTACAACCACCACCACCTTTCCTCCCCAGCATTTAGATCTGCAACACGGCAGTGATCCTTTGCGTGAGCCTCTTTAGACCGCTACACACGTCAAACACACATTTTTAACAATGTCTGAGACTTCTGCCGGTATGCACATCCCAGGTCCCGTTCTTCTCATGGCCATATACTGACAATCTCTATAGCCTGGCCCCTCGCCGATGAGGCCCTCACCCAGAACCTTCTGGACCTTGTCCAGCAGGCTGGTCACTACCGCCAGCTGAAGAAGGGTGCTAACGAGGGTATGTGCTTCCTCAAAGATACTCACTGTCTGTCTGCCTGCTAACTGTCTTTGTGCAGCCACCAAGACTCTTAACCGTGGTACCTCCGAGCTCGTTATCCTCGCTGCCGACACCTCTCCCCTCGCTATCCTCCTCCACATCCCCCTCCTCGCTGAGGACAAGAACACCCCCTATGTCTTCGTGCCCAGCAAGCTTGCTCTCGGCCGTGCTACCGGTGTTTCCCGCCCCGTGATTGCTGCCAGCATCACCACCAACGAGGCCAGTGACCTCCAGGGCCAGATCAAGACCATCAAGGACAAGGTCGAGAGACTGATGATCTAAGCGTTGGTCCTGATGTGGGAATCCCTCGGAGGATCATGCCTCCGTGGGTTCTTGAGGATTCTGTTGTGACTTCGGGGGTTGACCGGCCTTCACAAACGAAGTTTTCGCCCCGCAGTGCGAGAATAAGTCTCGTTAAAGGCTTGGATTGCTGCCGGATGATCAATTGGATATTGTAGGCGTTGTGCGCCTGCGGTTAGTACAGATAAAAGTCAATGACAAAAATGTGCCAAAACTTGTGTAGTCAATCTTGGTTGTTCTAATACCCAGTAGTCGAAGACGCGATTCCAGTATACCAGTAATCATCATGCAAACCAAAAATAGTGTTTAACAAATATAGTCAGGGTCAACAGAATCAGGGTATTCCTCGGGGGGCGCAATAATTTGCAGGACCGCCGGGTAGGAGCTTGGCGGGCGCTAGTGAGGCCCAGCTGCGGGGGCGGTGTCTTTTAGAGTCTTAGAGTTCTCGTGCTGGTCCTGACCTCATAACTCAAGGCTGGCTGGTTCTCCGCCCCATTCTCATCCTCCCATGAAACCCACTTAATTCCTAGCTTCTACCCTGAGACCCTGGCTGGTTCCGGTTCCTTGCTGGTTAAGGAGGACCTGCCTTCTTCGTCTACAATTCACCTTCGCGCCCCTAATTCTGGTTGATATCCTTCCATCATTTACAAATTCTGCCCCGGCCATATGCCCGTGACACGGACTTCCCTCGCAAGATAGGCACGCCGCCGTCTTGCATCTCCGCAGGTCACTGGACTCCCCTCAATTATCACCGCCACCAGTCGCTTGGCTCTGAAAATCCCTCGGACTTTGTCGAGATATTTTCTCGCTCTAGCCTCTTCTCCCTGATTTTGCTTTCCATCTGTATTTCGGACGCAGCATCGCCGCCGCCATGACCTTCACATCGCTCACCGGGCTAGTCATAACAACGGCTATCGCAGCCCTTAGTAGCGGTGTCGGTGCCTCGGCGGTTGGCAGTCTGACCACAGCCTCCACCACCTCCATAACGCCGTCACCATCACCATCACCCACTATGCAAACTGTACCTTTTCATTTAGCTGGTCCAGATCCGACCGATGGAGACGACACCGGGGAATGCAGGCTCCTAGGGCCTTTTTCGCTTCTTGTTCAAGCTGCGCTCGGAGCATTGGCGTTACTATCACTTGTCTACAAGCGCTGGAGGGAGAGACCTCAGCGACCAGTGAAGGTGTGGGCATTTGACGTCTCGAAGCAAGTCTTCGGGTCTGCGATGCTGCACCTCGCGAATCTGCTTATGTCCATGTTTTCGGCGGGCCAGCTGGAGATACGGAGTAAATACAAACCAAACCCATGCTCCTTCTACATATTGAATTTGGGAATCGATGTAAGCTTATCCCTATGCTCCGTTATACGGGTTGCATGCTGACATGCTTCGTTTCCAAGACCACGCTAGGCATCCCTATTCTCATCTTCATCCTTCACCTCCTCAACCGCTTAGCCTCGTATACTCCCCTCGCGAGTCCTCCGGAGTCCATCGAGTCTGGGAATTACGGAAGTCCGCCGCGCGCCTCATGGTGGTTCAAGCAATCGATAATTTACTTTATGGGACTGCTGGGGATGAAGATTTGCGTCTTCTTCCTCATCCAGCTGCTGCCGTTCATAGTCAAGGTGGGAGATTGGGCTCTCCGATGGACGGAAGGCAACACGGCAGTGCAGATCATCTTCGTGATGCTGCTATTCCCTGTCATCATGAACGCAATACAGTATTACATCATCGACACCTTCATCAAGAAGCCGATTATGCTGGATACTTTAGAGGAGGCGGAGCATGACACCCACGAGCATCGCCACGCGCTCCTGGCGGGCATGGACGAAGACGCGTCCTTCGAGTCGGACGATGACTCCGTTGGGAAAGATGATGGCCCGGAACCTGTAAAAGAGGACCTAGTCCGGTTCGAGTCCGCCGAATACAACCCAGCTCAAGTCGAACACAGCTCTGCCGCGTCCGCCAGATCGGGTAGCAGCCACGGCGAGTATGGCGAGTTGTCGTCTTCCACCAAGCTTAAGTCCCAGAATAAGGACTGATATGATCTCCGCTCACGTGTGTTATGTGGCGTTTGGTGATATTCTCGGTGATTATTCAATGGTACTTGTGATTGGTGCATTTATGGTTCTATTAGGATGGCGTGTACATGAATTTACTTCAGCTGTTTTTATGTCTTTTGTTTCGTCTTCTGCGCGTTATAACTCATCCACGCATACGTATAGTTTGAAATATATGGTTAATTCAAAGATCGCATATAGAATTTATCTCAGTAGCAATCTACTTCAATAATTGTGCCTTAAATACCAGGCACAAATGTACCGCAGTGACCGCACCCCTCACCGCCCACATCTGCCGGCCGCCGAAGAAAATTATTGTCGGCTTCGCTTTCCGCGATATACACCACCCCCCTCTATCCAACCATCCAATTCTCCCCTAAGCTCTGATCAATCAGGGAACACATACTTCACAATGCCGAAAGTGGCTGTCAAGCAAAAGTCCCGCCAAAAGGTCAAAACGGCCGCGCGCTCCCCCTTCGAACCAGGCCAACCCATTCGCGAAGCCAGCGACATCGACATGAGCGACGATGAAACGAGCTCCGACGAATCCTCGGTGCCGGAGAAGGACGAAGCCGAGAAGAAGCTTGAGGCGATGCTCTTCGGCGACGACGAGGGATTTCTTGGCGCGTTGAAGAACCAGAAGGATCGCAGTTTAGTACTTGCGGGTCAGAGTAGCGATGAGGACGAGTCTGCGGAAGAGGGAGACGATGATGAGGTGAAGGATTTGTCGCAGATGGATGATGCTGATGTTTGTTCCCTAATGGAGAATACCCTTCTACTGCTGTAACTGTGCGGGTCGCTAACGAATGGGTTGTGGTAGCTTTTCTTCCTTGACTCTGGCGCCGGACCGGTTTCTACGGATCTCAGCGAGGCGGCGCCCGCCGTGCCGTCAGATGAAGAGGGCAGTGAGGAGGAGTCTGGTATGCCTGCGCTGTGGCATGATAGCGACGACGAGCGCATTACGATCTCGTTGGCGAGCCACCAGAGGTTGAGGAAGCTGCGTGTCGCGGAATCGGAGGATGTCATTAGCGGAAAGGAATATATTCGCCGCCTGCGCAGACAGTACTTGCAGTTGAACCCGATGCCGGACTGGGCCAACCCTGAGAAGCAGCAACAGAAGGATGAGTCCGATGCGGACGAGATGGACACGGATGATGAGGAGCCGTCGTCCACACAGCCGCTGGCTAAGTTGCTGCAGAACGCTACGGACCTTGTCAACGTGGAGGAAAAGACGTCAAGCGGCCGCAGAAAGATGCGCCAGGAGGTTGTGGATATTCATCGTCTCAAGGACGTTGGCAAGGACCAGCCAGTATGTGTTCTGTTGCTAGGTTGCGCATCGCTTCAAACTAACATGGTATACAGTCCTCGGTCGATTCGCTCATGTTCCACCCCAACTACCCGCTGCTCCTCTCCTCTGGACCTGCAGCCACGCTTTTCCTTCACCACATTTCACCCTCCTCCCCGGCTCCTAACCCGCTCCTCACCTCATTCCACATCCGCAACACCCCCATCCACACCTCGGCCTTCCACCCGCCCTCCGGCAACCGCATCTTCGCCTCCGGCCGTCGCCGCTACTTCCACATCTGGGACCTCGAGACCGGCAAGGTCGACAAAGTCAACGGCACCGCCGACCGCAAAGAGGAGCAGAAATCCATGGAGCGATTCAAGCTCTCCCCTTGTGGCCGCTACGTCGGTCTGGTCGGCACCTCCCGCAAGGGCGGCGGTCTCATCAACATCCTGGACTCCGGCACGGCACAGTGGATCGCCCAGGTGCGCGTGGACGGCCGCGGCGGCGTGGCCGATTTCGCCTGGTGGAGCGACGGTGAGGGTCTAACGGTGGCTAGCAAGAACGGTGAAGTATCCGAATGGGACGGCCGTCTCAACCGGGTCGTCGCGCGCTGGATGGACGCCGGTGCCGTCGGCACGACGGTGCTCAGTCTGGGTGGTCGGTCCGGCCGGACGCAGCTGGGCGGAGACCGCTGGGTGGCTATTGGTAGTTCCAGCGGTGTGGTCAACGTGTATGACCGTCGCGAATGGGCTGCGGCGTACGCGGCGCAGGGCGAAGACGTCGAGGCTGGACAGTCGGCGATTCCTCGTAACCCAGAGCCGGTCCGGGCTCTTGATCAGCTCACGACGCCGATCAGCCATTTGGTTTTTGCGCCGGATGGACAGTTCTTTGTTATGGCGAGTCGGTGGAAGCGCGATGCGCTGAGAATGGGTGAGTCCCCTCCTCCTACTTTGATTATAGACCGTGTGGAAAGAATACTGACAGTAAATAGTTCACCTCCCCACATGCACGGTGTACCGCAATTGGCCGACGTCGAATACGCCTCTGGGTCGTATCTCGTCGGTGGCTATCTCGCCCAACTCGGAGCATTTGGCTGTGGGTAATGAACAGGGACGGATCAGGTTGTGGGAGATTAGGGGGTAAATATTCCTACTTGGTACTTTATAGAGCCATAAAAGTTTTATACTGCATATTACGTGGAGTTAGTGTAGAGTAAATAAATACCAGTGCAGATTCATTCAATCATATTGATAGCTTGATATGTGACGTGTAAGAGAGATACATCAAGCCCTAACTGACCAACAGTGAACCATATCCAAGCAAATCAGATAAAACAGACATAAAGAAATAACCTATGAACACCTCCGCCATTCACCACATCAGAAGAAGAAGCAATAATCATCAATAGGACAAGACAGAAAATAGAACCGAAAGCTGTAACCTAAGACAGAGTAGAAGCAGACTCTTCGTGTCGATCAGTTTACCGCAGACCCTATACCAGTAAAAAAGTAGTTAGTATATTACTCTCATAACAAGATACCAACCATATTTCCCTCTACCCTCTCTGTTTTCTTTTCGCTTTTGCAAAAGACAACCAAAAAAAATCTAAGAATAGGAGAACTAACCAATCCACCAAGCTACACCACCAAACAGCGTTAGCCATCCATCCCAGAAGCATCAAGTAAGTTGGAGGTGGAGTATCTTACCAATCCCAAAATCCCCGACAACTAATCCTCATAACAAAATTCCCTCGTTAGCAAATATCTATTCTTCAAAAAACCACGTTCCCACCAGGGGAAACACCAATAAGTAGATAGAAAAGTAAGGTATCATGAACTTACGAATTCAAGCGGCTATACAAAGACACACTCATTAGCATCACACTCCACCCGTAGTAACCAACAAAGAAAAAAAAAAAAAGAAAAGAAAAGAAAAGAAAAGAAAGGGGACAAAAGAAACGTACATCACTATTGTCCTGATCATCCCCACCCTTATCCCCACCATCATCACCCTTGGGATCCTTTCCATCCTCGTCATCGTCGCGATCCTCGTCATCGTAATCATCGTCGTCGTCCCCATTATTACTCGTCTCATATTGCGCCGAAGCACCCGATGAAGAGGCAGAGGCACTTGCCGACGCACGAGAACTGGGCGTAGCTGATGCTGCGGCGTTGGGGGTGTGCATTGCTGCTGCTGCTGTTGCGGGTGTCGCTGCTGCGGTGGCGAGGTCGCGTTTCTCTATGAGGGGTTTGGCTGCGGCGAGGGCGGTGGTGGCCCAGAGGGTTGTTGTTAGGAGGGTGGTGAGCTTCATGGTTGTTGTTGTTGGTGGTGGTGGTGTTGTGGTTGTGGGAGATACTGTGTATGCTAGGTAGGGTAGAAGGAGGGTTTGGTAGGGAGGAAGTAGTGAGTGCGGAACGTGTATAATAGTGGTAGTATAGGAAGAGATCAGGGAAGAAGAAGAAGAGGAAGAAGAAGAAGAAGAAAGGGTATAAGCAGGAGGGTAAATAGGGCAATATTTATATAGTACTACTACTTCTACTACAGTAAACACAGTTGCTGGTAGTGACGAATTGGCATCGGGCTGTATCTACCAGGTTCATCCATGATGGTTCCTACATGATACATGCAAGGATTCATAACGATGTGCATTCCAGTCCAGTTCCAGCTTGAATCAGTGGTCAGGACCAGACGATCCCATCCCGTCTGTCTGGTCCACGAGATTTCAAGCATTCTTCGTCTATCCCGCTAGGAATGTTTTATCGGGGTCCCCTTTCCTTCCTGTGCAACCAAACCAACACTGACCAGCTGAGTGACCGTGCACATTCTTTCGATTTTACCTTTCGGTTGCATTGCTTGCTGCGGGGTTTTGTGTTTACAGACTGGCTGGGGTGGCAGGTCCAGTCGGTAGAGAACGGTAGAGTTACACATTCAGTGGCTTCCTGGCTGGCTTCTTAATCACTACAAGGATTGCTCCAGACCAGACCAGGCCGGGCCAATTCTTCATCATAAGTTTCATCGGGCTTCTCTACCCATGTTCAATCAATTATTTTCATTCCGTCCACCCCGTCTCAACACCAGAGAATAAATAATCACACCAAAGAATTCGAAAATATGTGCGCCAGGTCATTATAGCAGGGTCTTCATATCGGCCATGTTCCGGATACCGCACAGGTTGCCGGCCTTGACCCGCTTCAGGGTCAGCGCCGCAATCAGCGCAGCTCCCACACCAGATCCATCCTCGGCCGCCAGGATGGTCACCTTGTCCTTCTCCTCCGGAGCCCAGTCCAGGATCTCCCGCAGAGCCTTGGCTCCACGTGCCTTGAAGTGAGGGTACTTGGTGAAGACGGAGCCGTCAGCACCAACGTGGCACGAGTCGATCTTTTTCTTCGTGCAAATGGCGGCAACACCGCAGGCCGACAGGCGAGCGGCACGGGTACCGATGAGCTCGGCCAGGCGGCGGATCATCTCCAGCTCCGCCGGGGTAGCCTTGATGTTGAGCTCGCGCTCCATGAGCTCCTCGGTCTCCTCCAGGTTCTCGTAAGGGTCCTCCTCGATGGCCGCCAGGAAGGAAGCGTCCAGGATGTAGGGCTTGCGCAGCTTGGTGGTGTCCTGGCCGTTGAAGATGAGGCCGGGGCGGTTCTCCACCAGGTCCATCAGGGCCAGGCGGAAGATCTCACCCAGGTACAGACCGGCGGTCATCTTCTCGAAGGCCTGCTGACCGGGACGGGGCGAGTCACGGTCGATGATGTGGTCGTACTTGGTCAGGGGCAGCACGACGTGCTCGTTGTCGAAAGCGCCGTACTCGCAGTTGATAGCCACGGGCATATCAGCGGGCAGGTTCATGTGGGCCAGCTTGGGGACGGAGCCAACGTTCTCCATGTAGGCGGCGTTGACACCGGTACCGAA